TTTTCCACCCAGATATCCAACTCCTTGAATTCTGCTATTTCCATATCACCGACTGAGATGCCTAGAATGACTGTCAAATCAATTCAGTTCTTCAACAAATGCCTTATGTGGACAAATCAAACTTAAACAGACCACTGTGTTTGCAAAAGTCAACAAAACGAAACTTGAATGCCCTCAGGAGCTCAGAAACAAATCTGTCAAGATCCTGCAAATCAAGGCTGTTACTTGGATTCTCTCTCTGATACAAATAACAAAACATTCATAATCTTTAAAAATGTGACACTGTGCCCATCTCAGCATCTTTGATGAAGAAAATCCATTTTGACTCAAATCCATACATTGCTTGCCCTTGTAGCTTACAGTTCAACTCATTAAAATGGTGAGTTGATGAACATAAGAATGGCCATACAAGGTTAGACCAAAGGTCCATCTAACCCAGTATCCTTTCTGCTAACAGTGGCCAATGCCAGATGCCCTAGACGGAGTAAACACAACAAGTGATCACCATGTGATCCCTGCCCTGTCACCCATTTCCAGCCAAACAGAGACCAGGGACACTCTTCCTACCCATCCTAGCTAATAGCCATTGATGGACCTAACCTCAGGAATTTATCTAGATGGAGCTCATCCTCCCTATATAGGCTCCCCCAATCCAAAAGTTTCCCCAATTCCTAATAAATCTAAACCCCTTGTCTGTATACCATCATCTCATCCATGCATTGAGACTCTGAAGTTGTGCCTGTGTACCTGGCCCCGTGAGTGGAACTGGAAGCATTTCAGAGAACACTGCAACAGAGGTCCTAGATTTCAATCTCTTTCCTAGCAACCTAAATTTGGCCTCCAAAACCTCTCTCCTACTCTTCCTTATGTCATTGGTACCTACATGTACCATGACCACTGGCTCCTTCCCAGCACTATACATAAGTCTACCTAGATGTCTTCAGAGATCCACAACCTTCACACCAGGCAGGCAACTCACCATATGGTTCCCCAATTATCACAAACCCAGCTATCTATGTTTCTAATGATCGAATCCCCTATTACTAACATCTGCCTTTTCCTAAAGACTGGAGTTCCCTCCCCTGAAGATGAATCCTCAGTGTGAGAAGATATGACAACATCCTCTGGAAGGAGGGTCCCAGTTATGGGATGGTTTCCCTCTGCTCTAGTTGACTGTTCTCCTTCCCATAGCCTTTCATCCTCCTTAAAAGTACAGGGGCTGTCTGACTGGAGGTGGCACAGTTCTACTGTGACCTCGAAAGTCTCATCTATGTACCTCTTTGCAGGAACATACTGACAATCAAAATAGGCCCAGGAAATGGGTTGAGAACGTCCTCCCCATGACGTCACCCCTGCATGCCCCTCAAGTCCTGCCCCGTGTCATGTCCAGCACATGGCACAAGCGGCGGGTCGAGCACTGCGTGCTGCATATAGCACGGACACAGAGCTGTTCCAAGTGAGGGGCAATGGTGTGCGGACATGAGAGCCCACCAGACAACAGCCCACTGGGAAATTCCCGGTATCCCACTGGGCCAGTCCGCCCCTGCCTCTCTTAGCTCCTCCAATTCTGGCCTCCAAAGCTCATACGCGGTTTCTGGGGCCAAGAGCTCCTTGCATCAAATGCACATATATGCCACCTGTCCATAGGGCAGGGAATCTTACATAATACATTGGGTGCAATAACTGCTCTTGGGCTTTTGCCTGCATTCTCTCCTACTGGTAATTAGATTGATAAGGTTATTATTTAAGTGAGGTAGTTTTGGTTTTAATTTAGTTTAAAACTTTTGAAGAATGTCAAGTGTACCTTGCCCCCTTCCAGCTCCCTCTCTAAACACCCTCACGAAATTCCTTGTTAGCTGTCCCTGTTCACAAAGCTCCCTGGTCACTTACTAGCTCCCTATCCTTCCTGAAAGGCCCACCTCCTGGCTAAGGCTTGACCAATTAACAGAGGGTTCTAGATTTCAAATCCTCATTATGAAGCTCACAGTTTCCAACTGCTGGCCTCAGCACATGGTCCTTCAAACACACATGCATCTCCAAAGTGACAAACACAAACTCAGCACACAGTGTCTTTCAGGCAACCAGCAAGTAACCCTCAAACACAAAAATACACACTATAGACAGTCACTTATGCCAAGGGTTCTGTAATCACTCCTCTTTCACCTGGAGAACTTCCTCATGAAACTAGTAGATAGTAAAACTTGAGCAAACAGACACAGTCTGAAAGCTCAAGGTGTTTGACACCTTTCATATAAAAAAATGATAATCTCATTCATGAAGGTGGCAAAATGAGACAAAATTTTGCCATGAGATAACCAGTGAATCTTGGTGTGCCTTTTTAGATCAGGCTATTTGGAATCTACTTCCTCGAGCAGTGACTGAAATTGATGGTGATTAAGGGCGCAGGCAAGAATCCAATTGGCAGTGCGGTCAACCTGTTTCATTACATTTCCAAGTTCAGTTCCACAAGATTGCACACAAGATTGTCCTGAAGCACATTGCAACAAAAATTCAAAAGTGGGCAGTTCAGCTGTTCTGACAAAAGAGTAAGGAATCCCCTGTAGACACAGACACAAGATTATCCAACTGTATTTCTGTCTCATTTACAAAGTTCAACACCTTTTAAGAATGGCTTCAGCCTTTGTTTGATTTTTCATAGATAATATCTCAGTCATTTCTTCATGAAGGGGAATGCCACAAATATATCATCACATTATACACAACTGATTAGCGTCAAATATGTCGGCTGTCTCATCCATAGAAAATGAAAACTAAGTAGCTGTACTCAAATTTTGCATTTGTTCCTTGTCAATTTGATGAGCCATTTACATAGCAGTGTCATGGACTTTATTTGCTTATAATGCCATGTCTTGAATTGTCTGTAAGATTTTGTCTTTCTTGTGAATCTCGTCAAATAGTCCATGACCAATTTTTAGCATGCATCTCTTCACATTATTCCTTGTCAGTGAAAGGTTTCCCCTCTTGAATAATGCTGTATGAGCCTTAAAACCTTGTGAAGTTTAAGTGCCCATCTTTTTTCGACCATGCCAGCAGGCTATTTTGTTCATTGTTCTTCTTTCATTGCAGCTCCATGCAGGTTTCTTTTTCGCGCATCACTGACGGGGTATTTTGTAGCAAATGCTGCATGTTGCATGTTCTCTGCAAGAACTAAATAGGGCTCTTTTGTCATTCCCCAAATACACACAACTTTTTAAAATTAAAATGAAAAGTGAATTCAAACTTTTAAAAATACATAATTCCACATATGACAAAAGAGCCCTATTTATTTCCATACTGAGCCATATTTGGCTCTAGAGCCATAGGTTGCAGACACCAGCTCTATGTTGTACTGACAGGGCCAAGGAATTCCGGCATTGTGTCCAACAGTATTCCAGTAAAAATAATCAGCAGCATAATGAGGTAAAATGCATTTTCCACAGTCAGTTCTCTTTTAGTTTCTAGCTGGGATCCTGGTATCAGCAGTGTAGCAATGGCTGTGGACAGTAGGTGACAAGATATCACAGCGCTCTATCACAGTAACTATTTTTACTTTAGCTGTCACATGCTTGGAGAGTTTTATCCCAGTTAATACATAACTGTAGAAATAAGATGCCATAATATATAATCATGGCAAATAAAAGCACTTTGTACTACCACCAATTTAGGGCCCAATTCTCCCTCACAGAGATGCAATTATCACTGATGCCAAATCCAACTATCAGTAGGGAACTAAACAGAGAGTGAGTGACTAAAAATATAGGAAGCCCAGAGGGTGAGGAGCGACAGTTTGAATGTTATATCCCTCATATAAAAAGATATGAAGTTTTAGTCCTCTGTGCTGCAGATTTTATAGGCAAACTCAGAAAGTACTTTCCCAAATGCAGAAGAGGAAAGGGACTTTGAACAGTGTCGGTACATCATGCAAATGATTAGATCTGTATCATGTTGATGCTGTTCACTTTTGTACTTTTAACACCTCTTTACCAAGCAGCAGCAAGTATCTGGAGCCTTGCAGGTTGGCTTCCCAAATGAGGTGGGGGAAAATAAGTGATCTGGACTCTGAGTATATTCTATGTTAATTCTTTAATTTATACATAGACCAATTCTTGAATAGAGGAGGACTAACAGCAGGTAGGAAATCCTCCCTCCCTCCCCCCGCAGGAATCCTCAGCCTTAGCACCAAGGCTTGGCTCCTAAGTAGCAACGCTGCCTCAAGAACAGACTCCGGTCAGACCAATGCAGAGAACCAGTTGTCCTGCTGTCCACATAGTTTCTTCCAGCCAGAAACATGCATTTCCAAATGAAGAATGTACAATGTGTTGTCCCATACTTAACATTTTCTCTCATGTTAAGAAAAAGAACTGGAAGACTGCGTGTAACCAGGCCACACTTCTTATAAACATGAACATATGCTACAACCAGAGTTGAGCATTTGGGGGGGTGGGAAACATGTCTGTATTCAAAGGGACTCTAGGAAGTAATTTGTGGCAATTTAATTTAAAAAACTGTATAAATCATGATATAAACTGGAGGCTATGATAAAAAACACTGATAAACCAAAACAAATAATTAATTTAACCGTTCCTTTGTAATTTTAGAAATTCAAATACAACGGCTGTTTTTACTAGTACATGAGAATCAGACATTGAAACTCACTGTAGTTAAACATTCACTTCTCCAGGTGATTAAATTACAAAAAAGGAAACAATGGTGCCAATTTAACAGTGCATTGTCCCTGTCAGGTTTCTGTAATTCTATTCATTCAATGGCTTATAACGGCAGTAGCTCAGGAGTAAATCAGACCCACAGCATAAATGATGTAAAATGAAATTTTAGGAAAGCAAACTTTGTATTATTAATGCAGACAAGGAATTTGTCTTTAAATTATTATTATTATTGCTAAAACTTACTATCATGGCCACTGATACAGTCATCATACTGTACAAACAATAGATGTATGACTTGTGTGCATCTTACCTCTAATTTAAAAGGACACTCACCTAATCGAAGGCATTCTAAGGAGGCCTGGGCCCAGTTTCTTGAAGATGAAGACTCAATGAAGTAGCAGTGACCACGGAAAGGAATCCATGATTTGTGTTCTAACTCAGGGCACTTTCCTGGGAGTTGGGGAGGATCAGTCGGAGCTTTAACTATTTAAAAAAAAGGGGACACAGATTATAATTAATAAAACATTTTGTTGAACAAGTTTCTCTTGCTTTTACCATGAGTTGCACATACTAATTTGACACCAGGAAACTCTCATAATAAATGTTTAATCATAATATAACCTTTTAAATGATGTATTCCTTGTTATTATGCCATACCAGAAAAAACTCTAAATGGTGAATAATTAGTGTTACAGCTGCATTTTACACTCTAAGCACCTAATTCAGCAAAGTCCATAAGCACATGCTTATCTTTAATCGCTTCCATATGTCTATCCCTACTGAGCAAATGCTGAGACATGCTTACGAACATGTTTAAGTCCCGTGTTCAGTGCTTTGCTGAACTAGAGACTAAATTTGGTTAGATCAGGCCATAAACCAATACACCTCTTAAACCAAGAGAAGAGTGCAATTAACATCAATGGTGGTTTCAGGTGCATATAAAGACAGCCCAGTATCAGGCCACAATTATTAACTGAAAAACTACAGTAAATAAAATGTTTAAAATCTCAGACAAGTAAGAGAATATATACTGTACAGCCTAATGATCAGGAATGTATCTGTTTGTTAAAACCAAGTACTCTGGGTCAAGAAAGTCTGTTCCTCTTTTACTTACCTCTTGACCTGAAATCAGGATTTTCTGTTTTTCCTGGCAATAAGCTGGCATTTCAATTCTCATCAAGCCACGAGGAAAAAAAATATCACTCTTGGTTTGGCAGGTAAATAAAATAGAAATGGGTTTTCAAATATTTTGTTTAAAATTATAATGATTTTGCAATCTGCCACTACACAGTGCACTGTGGTGATGAATGAGGTTGTGAATAGACTAACATCTTTTTAACAACTGTAATGTGTTTTTGTTCACCTTTAGCAGTGGTGCATTTTTTAAGTACTGCAGCGGGATTTAGCTTATTACTGCCATTAAAGAATAACTTAATTAAACATGACAGAGACAAAGTGGGTAAGGTATTAGCTTTTACTAGACCTCTTTCTTTTGGTGAGAGACAAAAGCTTTTGAAACAAACAGAAATTGGGCCAATAAAAAGATAATTACCTGCGTGGTGTTGTCGTCATGTTGATCCCTGTATATTAGAGACACAAGGGCTATGTCTACACTGGCGCGATCTTGTGTCAGAGCTATGCAAATGAGGCTAAGCGTGGAATATCGCCGAGTCTCATTTGCATATCTAATGAGCCACCATTTTTGCGGAAGAGGTTCTTGCGCAAGAAGGAGCTGTCTACACTGCCCCTTGCGCAAGAAAAACCCTCTTGAACAATGCCGTTATTCCTGAAAATAAGCAGCATAACAGCATTGCGTAAGAGGGTTTTTCTTGCACAAGAAGGGGCAGTGTAGACAGCTCCTTCTTGCGCAAGAACCTCTTCCGCAAAAATGGTGGCTCATTAGATATGCAAATGAGACTCGGCGATATTCCACGCTTAGCCTCATTTGCATAGCTCTGACACAAGATCGCGCCAGTGTAGACATAGCCCTTGTGTCTCTAATATACAGGGATCAACATGACGACAACACCACGCTATTAAAACACAACTATTTAAAATACACTAGTTGTTCTTCTTAATCTAGTCAAAGGAAGATGTTCTTAAAACATAAGTGTGTTTAATTTAGAATCAATGATCCATGATTAAAACCACCCTATAACTCTGAAAATAAGTGTCTACTCTTTTGCCCACAAGATCTGAGAAAACAAAACATTATTTTACAGGAAAACCAGTTGTTTTTCCTTTGGCTATGTCAAGAATCATAAGTCCTAGATGTCAACAGATTATTGTACTGTGTTTTCTATTAACCATTCTTTCAGTAAGAGATGTAACATTAAACTTCTCGGTCTTGTAAATTAATTAACTATCAAACTCTTTTTTCTTGCTTTTACCTAGCATTCAGTAGTTTGTGTACTCCACTGCCCTCTGCTGGATCTATCTGACATTCAGATACAATGCGTAGTCCTGTGGTACCTTGGGGCACATCTACACAGCAGAGCAAATGTTGAATTAAGCTATACAACTTCAGCTATGTCAATTGTGTAGCTGAAGTTGAAAGAGTGCCAATAGCCAAATTAAGCTACCTTCGACTCTTCCTTCGACTTCCCTTACTCCTCGAGTCAGAGTAATAAGTTACACGGGTCAGAGTAAGAAGTCCTCCAACTCACCATTGTTTTGAAATAATGGCTTGCTGTGCAGATGCACTCTTTGTTATTTTAGAATAATGTCAGTAATTCCAAAATAGTGCTGCTTTGTAGCAATGCCCTTAGAGAGTAACAAATATAGTACCTCATATATCATGAGCTTTTGTGGACAAAACTCTCTTCTTCAGATGAGATGAGTCTGAGTCCACTCAAGCTTACCTCATCTGAAGAAGTGGGCTTTGCCCACAAAAACTCTAGATAGATAGATAGATAGATAGATAGATAGATAGATAGATAGATAGATGATTAAAGAGAGAGAGAGATCTCTTCCTTCCTCCCTCCCTCTGACAGGGGCGGTGAACCTTTTTTGGGTTGAGGGTCACTGACGCACAGAAAAATCAGTGGTGGGCTGCACACAAGTGTGAAGCAAAAAAAGAAAAAAAACCAAACCCTCACTGAAGTTGCCCCCTATTGAGAAAAAGAAAGATGCTCCCCACATTTCCCGCATGCACAAGAGCCTAGGGGTCCCAGGCTAATCGATTTTGTGTACTCCAGCCCCACGGTGCAGCAGCAGGGGGACTGGAGCACGTGCGTCGGCTCCCCAGTGCTAAGAGAGGGGCCCTTAGCCTTGGAAGCTGGATCCAGGAAATCAGGGGCCTGTATCTAGCCCCCAGGCCTGAGGTTCCCCATCCCTACTCTGAAGTGTCACAGGACTACTCGTTTTTAAAGGTACAGACTAACACAGCTACCCCTCTGAGACTTTCTGACATCCAAATATTTGTCTCATTTTCTAGTCAGCGAGTTAATCTAACACAGTGTTTCCAACTGCCAGTCCATGGACCAGTGCCAGGCCGTGAACTGCTGGCTGCTGGGCTGTGGCACATTGCCAGGCCATGCGTTCCCTGGAAGCTGCACAGCCGAGTGACTGTGCAGTTACTAATTGACCCCCGCCTAGAGGTTTAGGGTAGCCACGCAGAGAGCTTCTTGGCTGGGGCGGGACACTCCCTCAAAAGCAGAAGCTCCTTGCTCTGACTCCAGACAACGATCGTGCTGGTAGGGAATGCACCCTTGCCCTCCGTGGTCTCCCATGCATCTTCCCACCATCAGCAGCTGGACTGCAATTTTTCCCCGACCACCTCCTCCCTGTGGGCTTGGCTTGCTATTGTTAGGCTCCCCAGGGTTGGGGATCAAAGTAGGAGGGTCAGGCAGATTCTAAATGATCAATCAATGCACAAGGGAGCCAGCTTAGAAGCAGGCTCAGCATCTGTCTTGCTGGGCACAGCCCAGAGTGAGGGCTTGCATAAAACCAAGCTGAGCTCTCAAGGGGGGACTGTGTAAAAATGCTCCAACTGTCTTGCTTCTACTGACCCGCAGCAGCACTCCATCTCCCACAGCTGTGAGGGGCAAACCTCCAACCTGCTTCCATGGACCCTAGCTGCAGAAAACCATTGGATTTGGGCCCAGCTCTGTACAGAAGCAGAACTAGTGCAAATTTTCCAAAAGAGACTTTCCCCTGTTGAAAAAATGCCATGGCTTCAAGGCAGACATTATTCACTTGCCTCTACCCAAGAAAGAAGCAGATGTAGATAATATCAACCCATCTTTTCTCATTTTTCACGTGGAAACTCTTAGGTATATTTTATGTACTTAAAATTCAAGGAACAATACAGACCAGTCGCTGTTCAGATAAAAATGTCTAGATGGCATAAAGTGTCACTGTGGTCAGGCCCCATTATGTGTCCTGCAAACAGAATGCAATTCTGGTTTCAAACAGAACTTTTACCTGTTTTACAGAGCTCTGTTTCATTTGCATAGCATGGATCCTAAACATTCCCCAGAGAGAGTGTACAAGCCTGAATGTAGAATTTTTCAAGAGCAGAACTACACTGTTAAGCAAAGAGTTACTGTATACCCCATCACAGGCTCAGACACAGTGCCTAGATTCTACCCAGCTGAAGCCAGCTTAATGTGAATACAACACCCTGTGTTCAAATACAGCCCCCAATCAGTGTGTCCCAATAGAGCCCATTCGGGGTTGTCATGACACTGTAAAGATAAGAGACAACTTAAGTTAAGTTAAGACCATAAGTTATGATTCATTATAATTGGGGGAGGGATAGCTCAGTGGTTTGAGCATTAGCCTGCTAAACCCAGGGTTGTGAGTTCAATCCTTATGGAGGCCATTTAGAGATTTGGGGGCAAAAATTCATCAGGGATGGTACTTGGTTCTGCTGAGAAGGCAGGGGACTAGACTCAATGACCTTTCAAGGTCCCTTCCAGATCTAGGAGATAGGCAATCTCCATTATTTTATTTTATTTTTTTGGCTAACCCAGCTCTCTATTATGGGGCTACTATAAGGTGGGTGCATAACTGGCTGGATAACTGTTCTCAGAGAGTAGTTATTAATGGTTCACAATCCTGCTGGAAAGGAATAACAACTGGGGTTCCACAGGGGTCTGTTTTGGGACCAGTTCTGCTCAATATCTTCATCAATGATTTGGATATTGGCATAGAGAGTACGCTAATTAAGTTTGCAGATTATATGAAGCTGGGAGGGGTTGCAATTACTTTGGAGGATGGGGTCATAATTCAAAATGATTTGGACAAACTAGAGAAATTGTCTGAGGTAAACAGAATCAAGTTTAATAAAGACAAATGCAAAGTACTCTACTTAGGAAGGAACAATCAGTCTCTCACATACAGAATGGGAAGTGACTGTCTAGGAAGGAGTACTGCAGAAGAGGATCTAGGGGTCATAGTGGTCATAGGGTTGCAAAGGTGGTTTCAACACAAATACTGGACACAATTGACATTACATCACAATCTACATTACATCTTATTTAGAAAGTACCAGACATTTATATATTCTCAGTTTGTTTCCTGAACAGAAAGCTCAAATACTGGACTGTCCAGTTCAAAACCAGATATCTGGCAACCCTAATAGTGGACCACAAGCTAAATATGAGTGAATAGTGTGATGCTATTGCAAAAAAAGCAAACATGATTCTAGGATACATTAGCAGGAGTGTTGTGAGCAAGACACGAGAAGTCATTCTTCTGCTCTACTCTCTGCTGATCAGGCCTCTATTGGAGTACTGTGTCCAGTTCTGGGCACCAGATTTCCAGAAAGATGTGGAGAAATTGGAGAAAGTCCAGAGAAGAGCAACAAGAATGATTAAAGGTTTAGAGAACATGACCTGAAAAGGAAGACTAAAAGAATTGGGCTTGTTTAGTTTGGAAAGGAGAAGACTGAGAGGGGACATGATAGCGGTTTTCAGATATTTAAAAGGGTGTCACAAGGCGGAGGGAGAAAAAATGTTCTCCTTAGCCTCTGCGGATGGGACAAGAAGCAATGGGCTTAAACTGCAACAAACGAGGTTTAGATTGGACATTAGGAAAAACTTTCTGTCAGGGTGGTGAAACACTGGAATAAGTTGCCTAGGGAGGTTGTAGAATTTCCATCTCAGAGATATTTAAGAGTAGTTTAGACATACATTTATGAGGGATGTTCTAGACAGTACTATGTCCTTTCATTAGGGCAGGAGATTGGACTCGATGACCTCTCGAGGTCCCTTCCAGTTCTGATATTCTATGATTCTAAGATACTCTTGACATCTTGCCAACTTCTCCCATTGCCCAAATCACTGTAAAAAGCCAAGCGCGTTCTTGTCTTTCTTTTTACTGGATGAGGCTGAGCACAATCCTGTGTGTTTCTACCCACAAGTAATGTACATTAACTCTTCCTACCTTCCCAGAAAAGCATATTAATGCTAGAAGAACAATAATGTGATGGTGTGTCATTCAGTTTGTCTATTGTTTCTCCCACTCCTAGTATTTAAGGCTGTCTTCATGCTGCCTTTGAAATGCTTTCTTCTATTGTTCTGTGCTATGGTCTGTTAAACTTTCACAATACCCTCAGTTTTCAACAAGACCAAGACGACATAGTCACTAACTCAAGCAGGATACAATGTACTTTCTGTTAGTTTTCTGTGTTTTACAAGGCATTCCTTTTGTACAAAGCAGGATACGAACATAAGAACGACTATACTAGGTAAGACCAAAGGTCCATCTAGCCCAGTATCCTGTCTGCTGATAGTGGCCAATGCAAGATGCCCCAGAGTGAGGGAACACAACAGGTAATCTTCACGTGATCCCTCTTCTGTCACCCATGTCCAGAAAAACAGAGGCTAGGGACACTGTTCCTACCCATCCTGGCTAATAGCCATTGATGGGCCTAAACCTTCATGAATCTATCTAGTTTTGTATTGTTTTGTTTTGATACATAGAGTAATGTACAGATTTACTAGGTACTTTTGTTTTTGCACTAATAAACTGAGTTGATGGGTTTGCATTTATGAGATATGATTACTCTCAATGAGCTTTTTTAGTAACTAAGAAAACAGGAATAAACACTGGCCTAGAGCCCACTCACTGTCTTTCCGCTAACTCAGTCTTTTCCGCTCACTTGACTTCCTCCAGTTATTTGTTTGTTACTCAACATTTACCATATATGTGTACAGTCCCTACACAACTGAATGTAAAGCATCTTAATTATTACCATTGTTCCATTCAATTGCTTACCATCTGAACGTTTACAGATAGAATAGTAGTTTTCATCACAGGATGCTGTCTTCCAGGCTCCTTCAGGGTCCAGATAGACACAGCCTATTTTCTGTTTTGGTTCCCCTTTGGCCCACTTAGTATACTTCAACCTCCACTTATCTATCCATTCATAATGTCCATCAGTCTAAATGCAAAATTAATTCAACAGAAACAACAAATCAGGCATCAATAATTGCTTCAGTATTTGTTTTGTGAGAGGAATTGTTTCACTTTCTTAACCTGTCATGACACGAAACAGAAGAATACCACAGCCCAGTACTTTGGATGTGGATGGATATTTATAATCTGTCCATCTGCCTTTACCAGAAATTGGCATTCAAAAGTATAGAACTATGAGACACAGCTCAAACTTTTGATTCATGCAGCATATCAAGTTCACAATTTATTCCACCATAACTCTTTCCTTCAGTTGGCTAGCATCCATGGTTGTTTTTTTTAACAAGTTGTACGTGACATTGCTTACTCTGGGTATAGATTACCTGAAGTAAATACTTGCCTAGAAAAACATAAGGCATAGTGCTTGAAAGACTAAGATCACAAAATATGTGATCTAACCTGATTAATATTATTAAAGCACATTCACTGCCTTTAAACAATGATGTTATATGCAAGTAGTTAGGTCCAGTATATAATCTAATGAGATCAAAAATAAACTGAGATAAGGAATCTGAGAAGTGTATGACCATAAAGAGTAGCACCATGCTCTTACCAAATTGCTGTTCAGACCAATCCATACAGGCTCCTCATACTTTAACATTTGTAGCCACAGGAAAGAGAGGGTGTAGGGATCTAAGATGCTGGCCAGGTCAGAGGAGTCACTATTGCATTTTCTCCTTGCATCTTGCCATGTCATTTTGGAATTGACGAGCAAATAACTACTGTTACTGTAAGGGATAAAGCTTGTTGAGATTGCTGTGGATGAATGGTACCGCTTGGAGTCTACAGAGAGAAGAAAAAAGGAATGTGAAGTTGTTGTTGGAGGGAGTGCTTACATGTAGTTAGAGATACATTGTGGCTGGCTCTACATGTCTTTGTGGAGACATGGAGAAAACAGAGACCCTCTGTTGTCTGATTTGTGACTTCTGCAAATCCACTAAAGAGAGTAAGGTTTCACAGGTAGAAAATGAAGGCAGAGTTTACATTATCATTGAGAGTAGCTAACAGTGCTGATAATAGCACAATGGCTAGTATAGAATCCAAACTATGCTCTCACAGCTGTGCTAGTTCTGCAGCGCTAAAGTTAAGTAGAAAAAGGCTAAGGAAACTATGACCCTGAATACGTCCAGAGAGTAACGGCTCGTCCACACAGAAGCTGTATCAGTTTAATATACACTGGTTTAGGTTTGGTCTACACATAAAATTCTATCTGTTTCTAGTTTAATAAAAGATGTGATTTTAAATTGATTTACCTAAACTGGTGCAACCTTATATGTGAACACTCAAATCAATTTACATCTGGCTTATATTGGTTTACCTTGTGTTGGTAAAATTATCAATAGGTATGGCCAGTATTTATATGGTTTTGCACTTGTTTAACTATATTTGTTTTTTGAACAGATCATAATTGAACCAGTACAATTTTTCTATATAGGTAACTCTTAAAAGCTGGTTTTGATGTACAGACCAAAATTTTGATGGCCATATTTTTAAACAGTACTTTTTTTTTAAACCATAGCCACTGAAATGAAGGATACCGACAACATAATGCAAGTTGAAATTCAGCATTTAACCCTCCAGCAAACCATAAAATCTTGCATGAGATTTTATTCTCATTTTAGTCAAAATACATGTTTAAGAACACACCTTTGTTCATTTGACATACATAGCCTTTGTTATTGTCACAGCTTCCATCAACCCATTTTCCTGCCTCCTTAACTGGACTATTTCTCATAAAGACACAGTCAGCCTAGGAAAAAGAATACACAAATCAGTTAATAGATAAATCAGAAGCAAGTGAGAAAATTGCTTCCTCCTCTTACATGAATATCATTAAATTTAAATTCCCCCATCATTTTAAAATTCAGGAATGATCGATATGCTGTGGTTTCGCTCCTCTTGAATTTCCCTAATTCCTTAACTTTCCTATGGTTTTGTCCTATTCACTCCTGTGAAACAATGGAATGTGGGGGGGTCCTTCAAGAAGAGGGAAGTGCAGAAAATCTATTCTTTTCCCATCTGCTTTCTATACAATATGGAGGGCATCAAAGCCACAGAAAAGTTCAGAGGCAAGTCTTGATTGACATTGGTCATGTAAATTGAGCTTTCTGCATGCATACTACTTTTTGGTCCATGGCCTGTTTGGGGGGGGGGGGGGGTCCTCCCTCTTTCAAATTCATAGTTCCAGCTATGCAAAATATTAATGGCAAAACTAGAAACATTTAGGCCCAACTTTTCAACAATATCCACTGATTCAAGGTGCTTGACTTGAGATTGCATTTCCATTTCCCTAACCCATTTTCAAATCCACAGAGCTTTTGTGGGCCTATAACAAGCACATAGCATGCCATACAAAATGTTTTACATCTGCAGATATTTTTGAAAAGTTGAGCATAGTATTTTTTTTTCCACTTTGCAGCTTTCTCACAGAAACATTTACATTCTGAAAAACATACGGGGTGATTTTTTTTCCTGAAAAAAATCAAATGATTATTTACTGAAGCTGGTGTATTACCTGCTTCTCCCCCATAGAAGCAGCATCTCCACCATAGGGTGCAGAGGGAACAAGAGGGAGATGCTGTTGTTGTGCAAGTGACCTGCAACTTTTACTTCAGCAAGAGTCCAGTGCCCCAAAAGAGCCAATTGCAGAACTGGGGGAGGACCACTGTGAGAATGATAAAAGGATGTGCTAATTCATAGAATCATAGGGTTAAAAGAGACCTCAGGAGGTCATGGAGTCCAACCTTAGCTAAAAGCAGGACCAGTACCACTAAATCATCCCAGTCAGGACTTTGTCAACTTTTTATCCCATAGCAAGATCCAAATGGCATGGCTGCCATGAAGACACACACAAGTTAAAGCTGCTCTTCTTTCCTGAAAATTGGTTTAACCGGGAGTGAATCCTTCTTGTGACATAGCAGTGCTTACTGGTGTATAAAGTGCAATTTATGACCAGTGTTTGCCTTTAGTACAAAAATAACACCTTCTAGACCCTCAATTAAACTAGCTCCCAAGCTTGATCCTGCTGGAAATCCTTCACATTGTCTCACTGGGTGTTCCGTAATATTTTGACTACATTTCTCTTCCTGTTCCTTTATCTGAACTCCAACTGTGCAGCTGTCACATTTTTTTAAGCTGAGCCATTTTCAGTAGTCAGTGTAAAAGCTTATATAAGCTGCCATAAACTATAGTGAGGCTTCTGCAAAATATGTTTGATCAAAACATTCAACACATGTATCGCTTGTGAAGGATCTGAATCTGGCAATAGCACATATCTGGCCCCAGCAAACAACTTCACTAAATCAGAAATAAACTTGGCAGTACAGTTATTTAACAATAATCTGTTAATGATGTTCACCTGGTTATCATATGAATATAGTTCCATTTGTCCAGATGGGAAACCTTTACCCCAATTTGTAAAATAGACTCCACTTCCATCTGTCCAAAGGTACTTGTTTTCATGATTGACATCATTTAATCCAATCCAATTATCAACCCTGGAATCCTTTAAATGGAAGGTCAGAAAGGCTGAAGGAAAGAAGAAAAACAGTTTTCATTAAAAATAGCAGATGTCACAAGGAGAAGGGATAAAAATTCCTCCAGAACTGGGCTGGCTATGGTCCAAATTCTTGGAATATTGAATTTTGTGAATCTTCTAATCTGATAGTTTGCAAACATAGATGAATGTCTAGTGGAAGAAGTGAAAGACACAGATATTGTTTCAACTTTAAGTTAAAAGATACAGGGGAAAACACAACTAAAAGAAGAACAAGATTGGAAGATTTTTATTTTGAACAAAATTGGAAAGGCAATTTGAGGAGGGTAAATTGTTAGTCTGGCAAGCAAGGAATCAGATATACTATTTTTTTATTTGTTCAAGATACCACAAATGTATGTCTAGCTCCCCAAATGTAGTAGCAGTGTCAACAGCAGGTTAATAAAATGGCTCCTTTGAAGTTGCAGGGTCTTACTCCATTAAGTGCCCTATAGCCTATAACCAGGACTATGAACTCTGCTCTGAAGCACATGGGAAGCCAGGGGCGTTTATAAAGAGCAAGTGTGATATATGTGCATCAGTCTTTATTGCTAACATTTATTTGGGGATGATGTTGGAGATCACATCTCTGAAAATAATAAAAAATTGCTTGTGTTTGACACGTATGCTGCTCTGATTGCCCTCATTCTCCTGCCCCTTGTTTGCGTGGGGAGCCACTTCAGTGTTCCCTGTAAACTGTGAGCTTGTGCAGCCCCTCATGAGAGATTCAAATGCCTCCTAGCTCATTAGCAGAGTGCCCACAGCTAGATATTTTGTTGTTACATATGGTGTAAATGACTCAGTGAACATAAAATTATTCCACTCATGCATGGAAAAGTTTAGAGGGAGCATTGACTGGCACCCATCCACATTACAACTTCATTTACATTTTATACCACTTCTTGATACCCCAACCTAAACTAATTAAAATATGTATTATGAGTTACACACTCCTTTGCAGACAACAGAACTGTGCGCCAACCATGCTCATGCATCTGTGCCTGCCATGGTGCCTACCCACATTTGTATTTCTGCTTTCTGGAAAAATCTAGTCCAAAGTGCCTCAACAGGTGACAGAAAGCAGAGGGAACATGCACAAAGAGCAGCACTAGCAGCATAAGCTGTAAGATATTTTGGACTGTCCTACAAGAAAGCTGGAAAGGAAGAAAACCAATCAAACCGATTACACAAATAAATGGCTATCATCCACTCAACGAAGTAATAGTGTTCTGGTTACCAGAAGACAGTCAAGGGTTAACATCCTCGCCTGACAAGGCAGAAACGTGGCTGCCTGCCAAAAATCACATAAACAGCATCAATCATATTTTGTGCAAACATGAACCAAATTCAGGGCCAACCATATCACTACCTTGACACAGATTTAAAATTGTAGCATACGCCGGCCTACACTTTTTTTTTCTGGTCAATAAAAAATGATTATCACAGAATTAACCAGATCTAGCATTTCACCCAGGAGCTTACTTTTTTTCATTGAATTAATACTCATTTTTGATTCTCTGTTCTCCCAGCTAATTGTCCTTTAACATTTTCTTAATACAGGTATGAATGTCACTCGTGCCTTATCCTGCTGGGAATAAAACTTGTTGGCTCATTTGCCAAACATTAATGTTCTTGTCCTGCTGGGAAGTGCAACAGGATTTCAGCTGTTCCTTGCACACTTCTGTTGCCAGTAATAATATTGGTTTGTCCCTTCAGTTTCACTGTTTGTATGTTTCTTACCTAATTTGAACCCCTCTGCATATACAACCTTCCAGGAATCTGAACAATGTGCTCACAACTGAAATGTTTGCCTTGGAGCGAATTCAACTAGCTTTTGAAGAAGCAATCATATTTAATCCCTAATATTTTCCCCACAATGAGAGTCTAATTTTCCCCCACCATGTAAAATCATACAGTAGCATGAAGGCAATGGAAGTACTCCAGTTTTACAGTAATATAACTAAGAATATGTCAGAATATAATTCCATTTACTTGTCTGTGGGTCTGTTTGTCTATTTGTTCTCCTTCAATTTGGTTTGGTGCAGTAGCTGTTTTGCATAATCACTGTTTCTCTCTATGTTCTTCTTCTTCTTCTTTGTTAATATTTATATTATTGTAGGGGCTAAGATATACAGTCATACCTATGACCTCTTTGTGCTAGGTGCTGTATAAGCACAGAACAAGACAGTCTGTCTCCTAAAAAATTGAAACAAAGTTTAAGACGAGATAACAGATGTTACAGAAAGAAGGAGGGGAGGCATTGTTGTTTTGGGGATATTTAGAAGGGGATCAGCTAAAAGGAAAGGGAAGGGAAGATAGTGAGGGCACAGGGCAGGAGTAATATGAAGTATAGGATGGGGAAGAGGTGTTTGGAGCCATTAGCCAATGCACACAGGGAAGAAAAAGTCACAGAACATTGTACAGTTTTGACTGGAATGCCCAGAGGTCCCTGCTTTAGCTGCTTCTAGTCTCGGGTTGGATGCTCTCCGCAGTTTTGCCCCAGGGACATGTGGCAGGACAGAAAGAGAGGTACCATCTGGATCCTAGTACCTCTGCCATGGATATTCCTCACATTTTCTTATGTGATTTTAATCTATTACAAATCTTTCCCTTTCTCTGATTATATAATGTTTTCCTGCTTCACTTCCTTTTTGTCTTCTGCACACACTGTTCTACTATGCTATGTAGTTCCTCCCAAAAGAAGTGCATAATGACTTATTTAGCTACGAGTTGAAGCAGTTTGAGATGCACATGTCCAGAAGCCCTGATCTCATCATCAGCAAGAGAGTTCCTATCTGTTTCGAGTCACTTCAGCTGTAAGGATGCTTTGCTGTTAGAAGCTTCTCCTTATACCAGTGTTATTTTTCTGGCAAAATGGACTGGGATGCTGGCAATAGTACAATCATTATGAAGCAAAACTGTCAAAAGGAATCATGGGTGACCTGGAGGGAAATTTTCAACAGATTGAATTTACAGGGGATAGTCTTCAAAAGTTATCAGATTAATTACAAAAATTGAGTGTGACAAATCTCAAACACAATAATCACATCACAATAAAAATCAACCTGAATAAACAGTGGTGTACAAATACCACCACAATCACTTCAAGAGGTGATAAAAAAGTATAATTTAAATTATTTAGAGCTTACCTTTCAATGACCAGTAAGTAGCTGTCATTACATAAAAAACTAAGATTACTAGTATGTTGTGTTAAGAGTTTAGCCTTCCCAGAGTGACATTATCAAAATGGTTATCAAATGTGCAGTCAGATTGAAAATCAGAGAATAATTTATTTGGATCCCATTAGATCTTAGATTGGTATCTCTCCTAATTTTCCTCTTTTCTTTCCTGTGCTTATAAGGGTTAAAGCAGCAAAATAATGTCTTATAATCTCTAAGGAGAAAAAAGACAAAATGCCTGTCATTAGGCATTTTATGTGACTCAACTATTACCACCATTCTCCCAATCTGATAGAATGGTATCTAAGTCCTACCAACTCTAAGTTACTACTGAAAAATAAATAGCACCTCTAATATATACAGTATGTGCTCTCAAATACATATTTTTCTCATGTAACTAAAAGTTTGTTAATTCTATGCGCAATCAGTGACAGATAAAAATAGTACAATTATTACTGCTGCTGAAGAGTTACACTTTAAACTTGCCTTTATAATTACTTTTATTAACTAGATAATAACTGGAACAGTACCTTGTACTTGTTCATTTGGTATGGAAGCTAAATTTCCTCCTGAATTCATACAAGCTGTTCGTGCTGCATGCCATGTCAGTCGCTCATCTTCATTTGAGCCAAACATTTTGTAACACTGAAATAAGAATAAATCATGTAAATATTTTACTTCCTGTCATACTACCTGAAGATAAGTAAGTCATTCTTTTTGAATTAATATGACTGCCATATAACTTCCTGTAATCAAGAAGGAAGGCGATAGCTTTGCTTCATCATAGGAATATTATATTGCATGCTATGAAAAGTTTGTAGGAAAAGTCTCATATACAATGGAGTTGGCATTTGATTATAAAGAGAAAATTAAAACTATAGATACCAAAAAGCGTATTCTTAAAAAAATCTATTTACCAGATTTCATCTGAAATTATCTCAAAACAACAAGCAGAAGCTGACTGCTTTTTATAGGTCAGCCACCTATATTTGATGAGCTACCGAATGATTGAAACCAGTATATTTATATATGTGTGTAAGAGCTCAAAATATAGGCTAAATCAAGTAAAGCAGTGATTTGGGCAATAAAATGCAAAAAATACATTTTTAAAGAAGAGTTTGGGAGTCCGTGAGGCTAAAAATTGCAAAAATGTGCTGATAGAATGTCACAGTACAGAAAAACTTATCTATGTTAACCTGAAACATTCTTGTCAATAGATGTGCTACAATGTGTTCTTCAGCCCAGCCTGCTTGGAAATAGGGGTCAGAACTAGACTGTTTGGTCACTGGCAGCAGAGGAATAGTCTGTTTCCTGAAGTTCTGTCCAGCTGATACAACTTTCACAGCCAGGAGAATTCCATTCTACTTTCATAAATTACTGATTCTAGTGCCTGTACTTTGAATGAAAAACACAATTTCTCCTACTCTGGAACATGAAGGTGACTTACCCTAAAGAAGCAATCTTTGTATGTCACTTTCTAACTCTGTCTCTAGGGTGGGCTGGATCTATCAACTTTACATTTTCAAGTAAAAATGTATCAATTTTCCTATTCTTTATTGTACTCAGTACCACAGATCTATTACAGAGGGATCTCCCCACTGGTGAGATCCTTGAAACATGGACCTCCAAAATAAGGTAATGTGTATAATATATCTGTATCCTCTATCTTTCCCATGACACTGAAATGTGGAGAATACCTGTGCCAAAAAGTGGCACTGGCCAATGATTAGAGGACCAATATGTAAAATTTAGTGAATTTAGATACCGATGCCCACAAAGCTGCCTAGCAGATCTCAATACCAGATTCAATTTTGATACTTGATAGAAGAAAGAAATACACTTGAATTCACTATTGAATTAATGTTATGGGAATTGTGAAGACTACTTGTGTGAACTGAAAGTATGAATCTGGGTCTCAACCCCCAACTTCATAAACTCATCTTATAGAGCTAGTTATTATCAGTTAGGAGGTTTATTTAATGGATAGGAAGTATATTGACACATGCCACATGAGTTTGAATGCAGTACTGCTTTAAGGACCAGAACAAGAGATTCTTCCTATTGTGCTTACGGAGAGATTTGTTAGGGGGATACAACTGTGGCAACATCACTAATAACTTTGGTTTCACAAGTTTCTGATCCTCTAATAGTGGTAGTGTCCATTCAGAATTCTGAATATAAAGGGCCAGATTCTGAACTCACATACACTAGTGTAAAATCAAAGAAATACTGCTGCAACTGGATTTACACCTCTGCAATTGAGATTAGAATCTGCTTCTAAAATTCCAATTCTTTCTGTTAAATGTCCTAACATGGACACAGAAAATAGGTTAGCCCATGTGTAAAGCAGCACTGGATCAGTATAGAAAGGAAATACATCACCCCCTTAGCAAAATCAATCAAAAAAACAAACCCTCTCTGTATTAAGTCATACACAACATCTGAATTGATAGCCTCTTGCAGAATGAACTAAGCCACTGGAGGAATGGGAGCAGGGATTCTTAAACACAATGGCTACGTCTACACTGGCCCCTTCTTCGGAAGGGGCATGCTAATTTTGAACTTGGGAATAGGGAAATCTGCGGGGGATTTAAATATCCCCCGCGGGATTTAAATAAACATGGCCGCCGCTTTTTTTCTGGCTTTTTCCTACTTTCAGGTAGGAATAAGAGATCCTCCGGAAAAGGGTTTTTTTCCGGCTTGGGGAAAAGCCGGAAAAAAGCGTCTAGACTGGCGCGATCCTCCAGAATAAAGCCCTTTTCCGGAGGATCTCTTATTCCTACCTGAAAGTAGGAAAAAGCCAGAAAAAAAGCGGCGGCCATGTTTATTTAAATCCCGCGGGGGATATTTAAATCCCCCGCGGATTTCCCTATTCCCAAGTTCAAAATCAGCATGCCCCTTCCAAAGAAGGGGCCAGTGCAGACGTAGCCAATGTGTTGTTCAACAGAGTTTCCCTAATACACTCTGAGAGGGCTTATTCTTATACCCTACTCAGGACTGATGCTGGCATTTTCAGTTAATAATAAATCTCCAAAATAAGCATTAATCAGAAAAAAAGTATAAATTCAATTAAATATATACCTGGATTATTCCTGTGTGAAAGATCTGTAAGACTTATAGCAACTTACATTGCTTATATTCCACAATTTATTTCCTAAAGGATTTAAATGTGGTTTTATAATTACCCCAAATAGCTGCACCAACCAATAACTACAAAAATGTAAACAATGCCTGATTTTTTTCCAGAGAAAATTGCTTGCATGCATCACAAATGAACCTGTCAGCATGCAACAAACCCCTTTGCATGAGAAATGCTGTATGCAGACCTCGGGCCTCACTTTGAGAAACTCTTGCCCTCTTTCTCCAATATTGTATCATAAAATATAAAAATACATTATTGCTCTGTCTAAAATGCAGCACATTGTGGATATGTGACTGTACCTTATTTTGAAACAAAAGCCAAGTTTCCAGACATCCTCCTGAGGCTGAAGGTGTTGTAGGAGAAACAGTTGCATTAATGGAACTGTTGTGCCTTTCACATATATAAGGATTTGGATAACCACAGTTTATATCATTCCATAACCCTGAATGTGAGATAAATACATAACTGGGTGAGACTCTCAGTCGTCATGAATCTCATCTCATGAGACACAAGGTGGGTGAGGTAATATCTTTTATTCAGGCCTGCTGCTGGAGGGCAAAAGGGACAACAGCCTCGGGGCCCAGTGACTCAAAAGAGACCGGGGCTTCTGGTCACTGCCACTGCTGCTACTGTGATAGCAGTAGCACCTAGAGCCCCAGGCCCTTTAAATCACCACTGGGGCACTGCATGGCACACTCCAGATGGCTCTAAGGGCTTGTGGGGCATATGCCATGATCTGGGAGGTGCTGAGGGCTGGCTGCCCCCAGCCCCACCCTTCTAGTAGTGTGGAGCCACCGCCCACCCCACCTTGCCATGAGGCCCAGAGAGGTTGTTGGCTCCCCTGCCTTTCTTGGACCAACTTCTATTAATGAGACAGAGAAACTTTTGAGCTGCACAGAGCTTTTCTTCAGATCTGGGAAGGTGAACTGGATCTACCTATTTTTATATATATTAGAAGATTCTGTATGAGAGGCTGTTTGTTCAAGAACTCCTCCAAAATGGTAAGAGCTAGGACCACAGAATTTGGTGTACAGCTTCCTCTTACCATATCTTAAAGCAAGGTCAGGGTTTGGTTGTGCCAGGAAAACAAGATGTGGTTGGAATTTGATAGTTTTCCATAACATAGAAAGAGAAGGGGAGAGAAAGGAGGAATACAATCCTCATAATTACCATTGGGAGCAGAAAGCACAGGGGAGAGCTATCCTGCTGAGTGACCACTGATGTAATGGCCAGCTGGGGATGGGCCTCTGCCATCCTGCCTGCCATTGGTAAGTGGCCATCCTACCTAATCCCCACCTCCAAATCCAGACTCACCACCGTGCACCCCCAGCCCTTGGGAACACCACCAGGACCTGCCAAATCCAGCTCCAGCCATCCTCCACAGGACTCACCAGCGCTCTCCTTCTCCTACCCTGCCTGCACCATTGGGATGCCCAGAGTGGCTGCTGCAGGCCAACCTGCATGGTCCCGCTCTTCTGCTTCCCCCCCACTTCAAACCAGGGAGTGCTAGAGGAGGCCTATGCAGCCCCTCTTGCCTCCCAGGTTGGGCATGAGGAGCACCAGTGGGGAAGGCCTGTGATGACCCCTCACCTCTCTGTCCCTTGGTCCCAGGAAATCCCTCCAGGGAAGTCCTGCATGGTCCCTCCCACCTGTCCTGTGTAGCACGTGCAGCAGAGGCCTGTACATTCCCCCTCCCATCTTCCTGGGTCAGGCACTGGGAGCAATGGCCCAGGGGTGCCATGCATAGCTCCAACCCTTATCCCAGCCAGGGCCCTCTTCCTTAAGCCCCGGCCCTACTACAAATTAAATCCAGAAATGTCATATTACTCACCTAAGTTTTTATACATGACTACACAGTTTTCATCATTGTTTGCAAAGTTGGGTTCATGTGCTGCCCATGCTAAGAAATTCACAGGAGTTCCATCCATCCAGCTTAAAAATCAGATAAAACAGAACATACTTATGCAAAAATGTATTTGCTTTCCTGCTACAAAATTCATTCTGCAAAATGTTGGAGAAGTCTATCTACCCTTAGCCTGCGTCTAGACTGGCATGATTTTGCAGAAATACTTTTAACAGGGTGAGTAACTTCCTTTTCTTCTTCAGGTGATGTTCCCGTGAGTGCTCCATGTAAGGTGACTATGAAGCAATGCTTCATAGTAGCAGGTAAAACTGTCATTGCTGTGTCTGCCACCAGCTGAGGCCTGATGGTGTAATGCTTAGAAAACGTGTGGTCAGATGACCAGGAGGCTGCCTGATAAATGTCTTTAAGGGGCACATTGTGGAGGAATGCCATGGATGTTGCTATAGAATGGGTGAAGTGTGCTCTCAGTGCCAACATCAGTGGTTTATTGCAAAGGGAATGGCACTGGAGCATGCAACCTGCCATCCGTTTGGAAATGCTTTGTGTAGAAATTGGGTTGCCTCTGGAATAGTTTGCAATAGAGATGAACAGATGTGGGGACTTGCGAAATGTCTGAGTTCCGTCAGTATTAAAAGCCAAAGCCCTTCTGACATCCAGGGTGTGAAGCATGGTGTGTGTAGGAGATGCATGAGGCTTTGGAAAAAAGCATAGATAGGACTATGTGTTCATTAATGTGGAAGCAGGTACTGACTTTAGGTAGAAAGACAGATGCAGTTTCAAAGTCACTTTGTCTTGGGCAAAGACTGTGTATGGTGGGCCTGCCATTAGGGCTCCTATCTCGCTGACCCTTCTCACAGAGGTGACGGCCACTAGAAAAACCACCTTCATTGTGAGGAACAGGAGAGGGCATGTGGTCATAGATTCAAGGGGAGCTCTCAAGTACCAGGTTTAGGTCCAATGACGGTGGTGGAGCCCTGCAAGGGGGTAAAGATTCTGGAGTCCCCTAAGAAAACTTCTAATCACCGGATGCGCAAACACTAATGACCCCTCAATGCGTTCATGGAAGGCCGTAATGGACACGAGGTGTACTTCAGTGGAAGACATAGATAAACTCCACTCTTCCAGGCATGTAGGTAATAGAGTATCATATGAAATGGGGCTTTGACAAGGTCGGCATACATCCAATGACACCAGGATGAGAAGCACTTCCATTTCTGTAGGTACATTTTTCTAATAGACTGCCTCCTGCTATGAGGCAGCTCCATGCAACCAGACAGGAGCCAAGCCCGGAGGTGAAGGGTCTGTGGGTGGGGGTGAAGTAGCTTGCCCGCATTCTTGGAGAGGAGCTTGCACCTTTGTGGAAGAGTGGTTCAATGGACATGCAGGAACCAGGTCTGTCCGGACCAGGATGGGGCCACTAGGATGACATGAGCTCCATCTGAGCAGAACTTGCGCAGGACTCTGGGGATCAATGGTACTGGAATGAAGGCATAGTGAATAGGTTCATTCCATGGGATTTGGAATGCATCACCCTTGGATCTCCTGCCAAGTCCCACTCAGGAACAGAAATGAGGGCATTTTGTATTGCTCTTGTTTGCGAAAAGATGCATCATTGGGAAGCCCCACCTTTCAAAGAAATGGACTGTGCTACCACGGGGTAGAGTTCCCACTTGTAATCTATAGTGACATTGCAGCTGAGAGCATCTGCCAGGACGTTGTTGACCTGTGGTAAATAAGCTGCTCTTAAAAGACCCCATTCCAGAGCCATACAGCCTCTGCACAGAGGGATCGAGAGTGAGCTCCACCCTGTCTATGTAGTAGAACATGGTGGTAGTATTGTCTGTCAATATACGAATGGTGCAATTGGTGATGCCTGAGACAAAGTGTCTGCATGCATTCCAGACAGCTCTGAGTTCTAATAGATTGATGTGCAACATGGTCTCGGGGGGTAAGCATTTGCCGGTATAAGTGGGTGCCCCCCTATCAAAGGAGCATCCGTTTTGATCTGTAATGATGGTTCTGGTTGAAGAAAGGGGACCCCAGAGAGCAAATTGCAGGGGAATGACCACCATTTGAGGAAGTCCAGTATTTGCTTGGGCACCAGGACCAGCTTGTCTAATGGGTGCCGTGATGGTGTATAGATCATCGCCAGCCAATGCTGGAAGGCACAGAAATGTAGATGTGCATACTGGACCACGTAAGTGATGGCAGCCATATGGCCCATCAGTTGGAGGCAGTTATAGACACTCCGAGGGGTTTGCCAGTAGGGTGGCAAGATCATGCAGCTTATCAAACTTTTGTTGCAATAGATATGCTCTGTCCGATAGGGAGTTGAGCCGTGCCCCTATAAACTCTAAGTCCTGTACGGGATTGAGAGTCGACTTCTGCTCATTTATTATGAGCCCTAAGTAGCTGAAGAGTCTCTTGGTCTTTGACACCATTTCTGTTGCCTCCATTCTCATGCAACCCTTTATTAGGCAATTGTCTAGATATGGGAAGATTACAACCCCTTGATGTTGAAGATAGGCTGTGATGACTGCTAGGACCTTAAAAAAACCCAATGGAGTGAAGGATAGGCCACAGGGGAGGACCTAGTACTGGAAATTATCATCCCCCATGGTGAATCTCAGGTAGCATCTGTGTGCAGGATGTATCAAGATGTGGAAGTAAGCGTCTTGTAGGTCGAGGGCTGCAAACTAGTCCCCTTTGTCCAGTGCTAGAATGATTGAAGCTAGTGTGACCATCTTGAAGTGTTGTTTCTGCAGGAACTTGGTTAGTGTGCAGAGGTCTAGAATTGATATCCAGCCTCCTGTACACTTCTGGGTTAGGAAGTAAACTGAGCAAAACCCTCTTCCCCAGTACAGCTCGGGAACTTCCTCTACAGCTCCCAGATGGAGGAGCCGATCGATCCCTTGCTCAAGAGGTATGTGGTTGGAGGGGTCCCAGAAGAGGGACTAGAAAGAGGGGAGGGTAGATGGAAGGGAGTCGAATGGGATTATGAACCCCGTACGGATGATTTCCATAACCCAGATGTTATTGTGTCCCAATGATGAAGGAAAGGAAGTAGCCTGTGGTCGAATACATAACTCTGATTTTGCACTGGATAAATGGGGAGGTCGGGCAGGCCCTTGATCAATGTTTCAAATCTGCTGTTTAGAAGCCTGTACACCAGAGGAACATGGTTGTTGTGGGTGCCTCCCTCTGGTCACGTTGCCTGTAATGATTGTGTTTGTATGGCTTGTTTTGAGAATGATTATGTGTCCCTGTTCCTATTATATGGGGTGTATCACTTTCACCTGTATAAAGGGGTGTACTGCTTAGCATGTGCAGAGTATTATGTGAGTTCTTGCTGCCGTGCAAAATCTCATCGGTGTTGGCTGCAAATAGCTTGTGTTTGTCAGAGAGGTCCTCCACCTTAGCTTGGAGTCCCTTTGGGGACCTCTGCGGCATATAACCATAAAGCCCTCCTCATGACCATGGCTGTTGCAGTTGCTCTTGTTGCCATGTTGGCTATGTCAGTTGCCAAGAGTAGCACAATGTGGCTGATTGTGTGCCCTTCACAGATGACCACTCTGAGGATGGGTCTCCTGGATTCTGGCAGGTGTTCCATCAACTTGTCTAACTTTGAGTAATTGTCAAAATCATAGTTGGCTAGAATGGCAGAGTAGTTAGCAAGATGGCTGAGTACACTTTTCTGCCAAATTGGTCTAACCTCTTGTGTTCTTTGTCCCCGGTGTTTGGTTTAAAACGAAGGACTTTTGACTGGTGGTTTGCCGTGTCTACCACCAGTGAGTTTGGTTGACAGTGGGGAAAAAGGAAAGTCTAATTCTTTGGGGGCGGGGGACAAAATACTTCTTGTTTGCCTTTTTACATAGTGGTTGGGCTGAAGCAGGTGTCTGCCAGATGTCATCGGATACCTCCATGATCACCTCATCTATGCAGGAGCGGCTCTAGATGAGCTGCCGGCAACTGGTGCCCTAGGCAAAAACGCGCAATCAGTGCACGATTGGTAGCAGGTGTCTGCCAGATGTCATCGGATACCTCCATGATCACCTCATCTATGCAGGAGCGGCTCTAGATGAGCTGCCGGCAACTGGTGCCCTAGGCAAAAACGCGCAATCAGTGCACGATTGGTGCCCCCACCTCCAAAGCCTTCAACGGCCATTTATCTTGGCACCCTAGGTGACCTCCTAGTTCGCCTGTATTGACGGGCTTCCACTGCATCTATGGGCAATGTGATTCTGCCTTGAGATGAAGGATGAATGTTCTTTAGGAGGTGGTATTGTTTCTCCTTCACCTCTTCGAGTTACATTTCCTGTGTCACAGCTACCCTCCTATAAAGATCTTGAAACTGTTTCAAGTCATCGGAGGTATACGCGTTCCCCAGTACTATAGTCTCCTGAAGGGAGGTAGATGAATTGTCTAGTGATATTTGAGCATCATCTTGGTTGTCTGAGAGCTGGCCCTCCTCCTCTGACTCTGGTGTGGTGAGGAGAATGTGAGATGAAGAAGATGTGGAAGTTTTTTTGGCAAAGGCACTGGGCCAACCGACGTCTAGGTGGTCCCCAGTAGCCCCATGGTGCCCAGTGTGGTGGGTTGTGTGGAGGTGGATAGTGCCAGTCAGGGAGCCACTGAGGGTGGTACGGGTGCTCCTTGTAATGATAGAATCGTTGGGACATGGTGAGCAATGAAAGTTACCAGGAGAACATGCTCCTCCAGTCGTATTCGGTCACTTCAGAGTGCCCCTGCAAGTACGATGACCTCCTGTAATTTTGGGATGGACACTGTGGATAGGGCACTGGTAGCTGCTCCCTTCATAGAATTGTGGGGGGCTGTCTGCCTGCACTCCCATTTTCTAGCATGTCCCCTCTTACTTTTGACTGCCTCATTGCAGTCAACTTGGGCTGGCTCCCTGTTGTCATTAGCTTCCTCAAGGGGAGGCACAGGAGAAGCTGGTACGGTGGGAGGTGGTGCCAGGGATTTGTGGGGCCATTTAAAGCTGGCTCAGCTTCTTTCACCAGTGCCGTGTGTTGGAGCACTTGCTCTGGTACCGGTGCTTGTCGGTGCTCTCTCTGGTGCTGAGGAGGAGCACACAGGTGCTGTGTTGCGGTTAAGTGCTGGGGCAGTAGCGCTTGCTGTTGCTCTCGGCACTGCAGTGCTGGAGGTTCCTGAAGCATCTCCCCTGTTGATTCTGGGGGCCAAATGGAGTGGCAGTGATCTGACCAGAAAGACCCTCTCTTGCAGATGCCTCTGAGGTGTTGAAGAGGCAGATTTAGGTTTCAGAGGGTCTGCTGATTTCCTCACTGAGAGCTCCACCACCAGCTGTATAGCTCTTTCCAAGATGATCACGTGGAATCTGAGCTCCCAATCATTTCTGGCTCTAGCTGTTGAAGTGCTGTAGCCATCAGAGGCTGGAGGCACATTTTAAATCCCTGAGCACCCAGCATAATGACAGCCATTACCATTCATGGTTGAGGGCTGCAGTGGAGGGGTGTTCTTGTTTAAAAGAATAGCCAACCTGAGGCAAGACTGGCTGCTTGTGTTTATTCAAGCAGTTAATTTGTTTCTTCTTTTCTCTTTCTTCCCCCCCCCCCCCTTCTTTTTTTTTTGTGTTGAAGAGTGCGGCTAGCTAGATGAAAGTGGTGCCACTTGATTGCTTTGCTGAGGGAACAGCTTGTACTGTTGCTTTTTTTTTAAAAAAAAAAGTGGCAAGAATATAGCCTAAATAAATGTAGCTGCAGGAGGTCAAAACAGCAGCAGCAGGAGTGAAACCTCCTGTGAGGAGAGAAAGCCTGAGGTGGCAGGATAACTCCATCCGACCAAGGGCGGTAGAAGAGGAATTGAGGGGAGAGGGTCAGGCCGTGCTCAACTGTCAAACTGCCAGTAGCGTGAGATGCTTGCTGCACGTGCATGACCTGACTACTAACTGCTATGAAAAGTCTCCGGTCCTGCAGCTCCAGGGATGACCCATCACCTTACATGGAGCACCTATGGGGACATCACCCAAAGAAGAATCAAGCAATAATTTGGTAGAGGGTGAGCCTGAAACCAGGTCCATGTGTTGAGGGCAGACCTGGGTTTGGATGCGGCAGACTTGGTCAAGCCTGCTTCCCCCCGCCATCCCACCCTGGGGGTGACAGTACAGGCCTATGCTCTTCAGTTCAATTCCTTACAAGAGTTCCATAGACTTCTGGTGGTTTCATCCCCTTTCCTGAGCCCTGAACTGAAGCTAAAGCTCTGCCTGAATGAATACCAGAGCCCTAATTGAACTGTTGATTTCCTTGCCCTACTGGTAAGCCTGGGATATAAACTACAATAGTTCTACCTAATTGCAGGCCAGAGCCCTAACTGTTGCCTATCCTGCCCTGCCTAAGGGCAGGTGAATAGACAACTGCCACTCACCCTGTCACCAACCAGAACCCAGACTGTGAACAGCCTTCCCTTCTTTAGGGTCAGACCCCCTTGTGAATTGTTAATTTCATCCCTCTCCTCTTGTTGGGATTAAAGATGATTCTTGCAGAGCCCCCAACTCACAAAAAGGCCTGGACCCTCTCAGACACAGACATGGATAGACAGCCTTGCTCACCTACCATAACTATGAATTATGTTTAGTGGCAATGAGTGAGAAACAAATCTATTGTTTTCACAAAGATCAAAACTTTGGGTTACAGCTGAGTTTGCACCTGATTTGTGTAGTATTAATGCACCTTTAAACTAGGGATGTTAAAGACTAGTCAACCTGTCGACTATCCCAGTGGTGTGCAACCTTTTTTCATTCGCGACCCCAGCTGGTAGGGTTGCCAGATGGTGTCACCAAAAATACCGGACCCCCTTCCCCTCCCAAAAAAATGCTGGGCCGCCAAAATGCAGTCACAGCCACTTTAATTGCCAGGCCACTCCCCCGCTGCATGTACATCAGGCATCGAGACGGGAAAAGCAGAAAATACCGGCTGGCTGTATCACAGCGCTGCAATCCCCAGGAAGACAGCCACGACTCCCAAGAGGGACACGACCCACAGGTTGTACACTGCTGGACTATCTGATAAGCATTTACTTATTGGATAGTCTATTGGCTAGTCGAATAGTCGATTCCTTCCCCTTTGAGGCAGCAAAGGGGGGAGAGGGGTACTTCAAAGCAGCAGTGCCACACAGCTGAGCCGTGGCTCAGCTGTGCAGCAGTGCTGCCCCTTTAAAATGCTGAAGGGCCATGGAGCCCAGCTCCCCAGCTAACCCCAGGGATCAGCTGTGCGGCAGCTGCCCCTTTGAAACACCACCTCCACACATTTCAAAGGGGCAGCTGTGGAGCCCAGAGGAGTCCCCAGCTGATCCAGGTTCCGCTGAAATGCCACATGGAACCGAGGTCAGCTGGGGAGTCATCTGAGTCCCCTGCTGACCTCGGGCTCCATGGCTTTGAAATGCACAAGAGCCCCCACGGTACATTTCAAAGCAGGCACCCGCCTGCAGCCCAGAATCAGCGGAACTTCCCACTGGCCCTGGGCTGTACGCAATGTACAAGAGCCCCCATTGGGGCTCTTGTACATTTCAAAGGAGGAATGCAGAAGTGCCTATTGACTAATCAAGTAGTCAATTAACCACATTTTAAAATCCCTACTTTAAAATTTCCCAATACTGGGACCCAGGACAATTCTGAAGGTATTACAGGGCCACAATGGAAGCGAGGGATTAGCATTGCATAGCTAAATCCAGACACTCATTTTCCCCAATCCAGTCCTCTCTTTCTTGCTGTAGGGCAGGGAATAGCATAGGCGCCATTATATTGGCAGTGTGCCACCTGACTTTTCATCCATGTTGGAACAAAGCTGCCCACAGTCTGGCAAGCCAGTTATAAGGCTATTTTGTGATGTTGGAGCTTTACCAGTGGCAATATGAAGGAAGTTCTCACTCTGACTCAAACATTTGAGGATGGAGAACCAAATGTTGTAATGCTTGGTAACACAATGATTGTTAGAATACACTCTCTCCTGGGGACTACAGTGAGCAGTTAGCAAAACCAGTATTTGAGAATCAGTTTATGGATTGTTGTGTTTTGAGATTCTGTGTGTGACTTGCATAGAACAAATGGTCCCTCTTAACAGTATACATCAAAAATTTGACTGAGGCCATCTTTATAAAAATAATTGGGAGGATTGTTAGTGACCTGTAACTGGTTTGTTCTTGTACTTCTTTGAGAAACTTCTTAAGGGGGGAGAAGATGGTCTTCTGTGATGTACTCCTAATCTTGAAATAAGTGACAAACTATAATGTTCAAAATCCATCAGAGCTGCTGAACATAAGAAAGCTTAATGTTTTAATATTCCTAAAGAATTAATAGATTTGCAAGAGTTTAGCTCTATTGACTTCAATGGAAGTTGGACTTCCATAAGGCCAAATTCCAAATTCCAAAATTCATTCCAGTATCAATAGGTAAACATTATTTTAAAATTCCTCAGGTGGTTTTCTTTGTAACAGCCAGAGAGCAAAATTCATCTCAAATTTGTCCCCTCTCTAGGAAAAAATAATATAGCTATTATAGTGATGAGTCATATAGAAATGCTGTAGTAAATGATAAATATGGAATTTTTCTAAACATTTTAATGAAATATGCTTGTGAGCGGATGAGATCTTTATACCAATATTTAGTCCAGAATACATTTTTACAAGCTTCAGTAATAGAAACAGTAAGGCTACATCTACACTGGCAGCTTCTTGCGCAAGAACTCTTTTGTGGAAGAGTTCTTGTACAAAAACTCTTCCAGAAGAGAGTGTCTACACTGCCATGTGCTTTTGCACAAGAGCATCCATAGCAGTGTGGACGCTCTCTTGGGCAAGAAAGCTCTGATAGCCATTTTAACCATAGGGGCTTCTTGCACAAGAAATTCATGTTGCCTGTCTATACTGCCCTCTTCTGGAAGAGCTCTTGCGCAAAAGGGCTTATTCCTTGTGGGGAGAGGAATAACTCTTCTGGAAGAAGCCTTGTTTTACAACGCTGTACTGTAAATTTACTTCTGGAAGAATGCTCGTGCAGCGTAGACAGCCGGCAAGTTTTTGCGGAAGAATGGCTGTTCTTGCACAAGAAGCTGCCAGGGTAGATGTAGCCTAAGAGTGACATCATGGTCTCACTCAAGTCAATAATAAAATGGTTTCAATTGCTTTGACAGGGCTACAGTTTCACCCTAGAGTTTTATGTAATCACAGCTTTGTCTGGTACAAGACTTATTCCCTAGAGTACATGTTACTAGCCTTGATTTTGCTTGTTTACTTACCTAACCTTTTTATCAATGCTCAATTGTAAACCAATGAAATATGCGTCTTCCTTGCCATTTTTCAAGATCTAAAACAAAACCAAAAAAAGTCAAATGCTTCCTTTTAATATATAAAAATATTTTATGGAGTGTAACTGCCTGGACAGTACATTACAGGCCCCCCTATGGATTGTTCCACAAAGGACAAAAGTTTTTCCATCCTGCAACAATACTTTTGACTCAAGCTCAAATTGGTACAGCTCATGTGTTTGCTCCACAAGTACCCAGTTCAACCCACAATATGTTGGCCAAGAAGGCCCAACACATTGTTTCCCTTCTAAATTTTTTAATTTAATACCTAGAGAAATTTCTAGTGATGGACATTCTCTTTCCTATAATTTTGATTAAATCCAAGGTAGATCCTTCACCCTCTATTCATTATTGCTATTATGCCAGTTGAGTAAATTTCTTTTTAATGAACATCTACCTTGTAAGCATATTTCTGATTTTATAAAACAGAGACTAGATCATAGGCTACAGGAGAATTTGCCCCAAAATTCCTATCCACTCGTGGTAAAGAAGCTGTTCTTTGTGGCTCAGTCAATGCTGCAAATTCTCACTTCTCTCCCAAGATTTTGCCAGCCATTCCATACAATGCTGAGAGATATGGGACAAGCAACCCTTCTTCCCAACCCCACATATACACCAATAAAACCTCTGATTTTATCTGGAGTATTGCATTTAAGGTCTTCCCCTCAAGTGACCTAGCAACTCAGGAATTTCAAGCCAGATCCTGTCCATTTTTAAATCATTGATGGATTACATTTTATTCCATTCTTCTTAGATGGACAAATAAAACATCTAATAATTCTGGTAATTATTATTCTTCAGAGTAATTTGGTTTTTGTTAAAAAGCTGATTTATAGGCATAAGTTGATTTAATTTAAAGTTCAGTGACAGACCCTATCTTAACTAGTTTGCCATCCAAAAGCCTAATTCACTACTACATTAATAATATGTGGAGATATACCTATCTCATAGAACCAGAAGGGACCTTGAGCAGTCATCAAGCCCAGTCCCCTGCCCTCCCAGCAGGACCAAGTACCATCCCTGACACATTTGCCCCAGCTCCCTAAATGGCCCCCTCAAGGATTGAACTCACAACCCTGAACCACTGAGCTATCCCTCCCCTTATTGCTGTTTTATGCCAATCAGAAACGTCGCTGATTTTACGGGCATCAAACTGGAATAAAATAGTGAATCAAGCTCTAAGGTGAAATATTCTGTGCCTGTGTTCACTGTGCTTATTGCTGAAGCAAGTCATGGTTTTCTCACATATCTCCATAGCATCTTTCTTTCGCTGTCATCATCTATGACAAGAAGTTCTCCAAAATTCTTCTTGCAAAACTCTCGGCCTTGCTCCATGGGAACACTTTCTGTGCTGAAATAGTATTGCCTGTCTCCTTGTATAATCCATCCATCATCTGTGACTTTATACTCTGTAAGACAAATCATGAGGACATATGTATTGTATCTAACATACAAGTTACACTCATTCCAATTTTTTAAAATACATTAGGAGGGCTGCAACCCCTGCTTACTATGCTCACCAACCAATCCCCTCTCTCTGGCAGCTTTCATGGCCAGAGAGCAGGAGAGCTACACTCCCCAACCCCACTCTCTGTGAGAGCAGGGTGTCTGGCCGGAGGAGAGAGAGCAGGAGTGGGCTAGGGGTGCAGGGTCTCGGTGGAGGGAGTGAAAGAAGAGGCTTGGGGTGTGGGGTGTCGGCTTGGGCCGTTGGTTTGTACAGAGCTGCTCCCTATAGAACTGTGCTCCTTTGGGAAAAGTAAGGTTACTGAGCATCCTTAGATGCACTGAGCATGGTCAGTAGCTCTATTGAAAGGGAACAGAACTCTACAAACCACCAGCTTGCAGCAATGGAAGAGTGGCACTATGTGAGGAGGGGCAGTAGCCAATAGGACTATGGGGGAAGAGGTCAGACAGGAGGGAAGGTGGCCAGGAGTACGGGGTGGGGGCAGGAGCTAGTGGGGCCCTAAAATGACCCCTCATGGGGGAGTGATGTAAAGACCAGAGGAGCTGCTTGGAGCAGATAGTGAGGCACCCTGTTTGGAGCTATGCATGAGCTGAGGGGGATGATGCTGATGACATTACTCTGGTGTCCCGCAGGAAAAACATTTTGAGAGAGAGAGAGAGATTATTAAAAAAGCTCACTGGGAACGGGAGACTCCGTTGGTTCAGGTTTTACTGTTGCTCCTGTAAAATAAAACAACATGTAACTCATCTCATAGCCCATGTTCTTCCACTGACACATTTAGTTTACAGTAGTGAGGGATTTAGCGCAAAAGATACAAGGCATTTCTGAAACATAATTAACAAAATTAAGTAAAATAAAAGTCTTACATAGTACTCAAATTGTATACAGTAAAATTTAAAGAAAACATTCCTGCCCCAAAGCACTAATCTCAGTTATCACGGAATCACAGACTACTAGGACTGGAAGGGACCTCGAGAAGTCATCGAGTCTACTCTCCTGCCCTCATGGCAGGACCAAGTACTGTCTAGACCATCCCTGATAGACATTCAGTTTAGAAAAGAGGAGACTAAAGGGGGATATGATAGAGGTATATAAAATCATGAGTGGTGTGGAGAGGGCGAATAAAGAAAAGTTATTTATTAATTCCCATAATAGAAGAACTAGAGGACACCAAATGAAATTAATGGGTAGCAGGTTTAAAATTAATTAAAGAAAGTTCTTTTTTCACACAGCGTGTAGCCAAGCTGTGGAACTCCTTGCCAGAGGAGGCTGTGAAGGCTAGGACTATAACAGAGTTTAAAGAGAAGCTAGATAATTTCATGGAGGTTAGGTCCATAAAAGGCTATTAGCCAGGGGATTGGGGCACCTGGTGCTGGCCACTGTCAGCAGACAGGCTACTGGGCTAAATGGACCTTTGCTCTGACCCAGTACAGCCATTCTTATGTTCTTATTTATCTAACCTACTCTTAAATATCTCCGGAGATGGACATTCCACAACCTCTCTGGACAATTTATTCCAGTGTTTGACTACCCTGACAGTTAGAAACTTTTTCCTAATGTCTAACCTAAACCTCCGTTGCTGCAGTTTAAGCCCATTGCTTCTTGTTCTATCCTCAGAGGCCAAGATGAACTAGTTTTCTCCCTCCTCCTTATGACACCCTTTTAGATATCTGAAAACGGCTATCATGTCCCCCCTCAATCTTCTCTTTTCTAAACTAATCAAACCCAATTCCTTCAGCCTTCCTTCAGAAGTCATGTTCTCTAGACCTTTAATCATTCTTGTTGCTCTTCTCTGGACCCTCTCCAATTTCTCCACATCTTTCTTGAAATGCGGTGCCCGGAACTGGACACAATACTCCAACTGAAGCCTAACCAGCGCAGAGTAGAGCGGAAGAATGACTTCTCGTGTCTTGCTCACAACACACCTGTTAATGCATCCCAGAATCATGTTTGCTTTTTTGCAACAGCATCAAACTGCTGACTCATATTCAGCTTGTGGTCCATTATAACACCTAGATCTCTTTCTGCCATCCTCCTTCCTAGCCAGTCCCTTCCCATTCTGTATGTGTGAAACTGATTGTTCCTTCCTAAGTGGAACACTTTGCATTTGTCTTTATTAAACTTCATCCTGTTTACCTCAGACCATTTCTCCAATTTGTCCAGGCCATTTTGAATTATGACCCTATCCTCCAGAGCAGTCGCAACCCCTCCCAGCTTGGTATCATCTGCAAACTTAATACCCATACTTTCTATGCCAATATCTAAATCGTTGATGAAGATATTGAACAGAGCTGTTCCCAAAACAGACCTCTGCGGAACCCCACTAGTTATACCTTTCCAGCAGGATTGTGAACCATTAATAACTACTCTCTGAGTACGGTTATCCAGCCAGTTATGTACCCACCTTATAGTAGCCCCATCTAAGTTGTACTTGCCTAGTTTATTGATGAGAATATCATGTGAGACCCATCAAATGCCTTACTAAAGACTAGGTATATTCTTTATAACATAATGTAAGTTACCTTTTAAATGTGTCAGCATTAAATTATAACTGTTTTGAAATGCCTGGGGCATAGCAGATAGTTATCCTGCTCTAGAAAGACTTCTAGGCCTTCTGAACCTGCTTTTTATATTGATTTTATATAAAAATTAGTATTTGTAGTGACAGACAAGAGGAAAGCTAGATACAATCTGTCAACAGGTATTACTTGGTTTAACTTTTTTCAGATAGTTTTTTTCTTTGAAAAATGGCCTTTTCTCTCAAATAATTTTTGTAAAAGAAAATTGGTAACTTTTTCTAATATTTTTCTAAAATCTTTTATTTTTAATAGAAATGCATTAAACAATGATTTTTGTATTTATTGAACTGAGTTTACAGAAAATGAGATGTGCTAACCATTTAGATAAGGCTTCAGATAAAACTTTCATTAGAAAAATATTGCAAAAATAAGCTTTACCATTTCAAATCCTTTAAAATGAAAATAATTTAATTTTTTTTCTCAATTTATGTTCATGAACAATACCTGCTAGAAAAAAAGCCTATCACAATATATTGTCGCAGAGTTTACCATTTCCTGATTATATTTCAGTAGCATAAATGACAGGCCACAAATCCTCTTTGAGCTTTGTTTGTCAGAGCATGGATTTCCCAGGAGCTGAGACTGCATAAAATGACTTTCCATTACATGTGATGTCTCCCTATGTCATCTGTTTTTTAGTAATTTTCCTTGTTGAAAAAATAGACTCTCAAAAGTGTTAACCTTTTGGTGAAATTTCCTATTGAATTTTCCAGAAATTTCTTTACCCAACAGAAGTGGATCTTTCTAGTCTAAATTTGCTCTCATTCATCAGAAATATGCCCTTCACTTTATGGTCTCCCTAAATAAGAGACTGTGATGAGGCAATTGCTGGAACAGTCATTGAAATACTTGAAGTTAGCTATGTATGCTGCTTTTAGAATGTGCCGTTTTCTTGATTTGGAGTTTTGGACTGGATGCCAAAAAAAAAAAAAAAAAAACAACCCACCTCCCCTCCCCAGAATTCCTTAATAAAAGTGCCCTTGTGCCAGCCAGTCAAAATTTTAAGTTCAACACATTCAGAGCACATTTGTTCAGGTCCTCCTAATTCTGGATATGTTTGCCTGTTACCATAACTTTAAAGCTACTGACCTGTTTTTCTTCAAACTTCATTTGTTTTGAAGATTTCTGAGAGACCTAAAAATCAAACCATGTTTGAAGGAAATTGGTTCAGTAGCTGAAATAGAAAAATTCTACTGCATATGCAGAAAAACCCTACTGCTTATGTACAAAATTCTCAATTTTAATTTGATTTTCTTCAGTTTGGCCTAAACCTTTGATCTCATAATAGATATGTGCAAAATAACCACAATTTATAAAATCTGGCTTTTAACACACACACACGCAGGAAAAGACCAGTTTTTCATGTTTTAAAAACTCAAAAAGGATTGAATTAATCTGAAGAGGGGGAAAAAAACCTTTTCAATACACTAAAATTAAACCTCAGAAAATATAAATGTAAAAAACTTGGAGAAAAGAAAGAAAAATGAAAAGAGAAAATTTGAATGGAATTTTAAATTTAAAACTGAATTTTAAAGTTATCAGTGTCTCTTAGAATAAAATGAATGTAATTCAAAAATCACACTCTCTTCTTTAAGATATCAAAAAAAGCAAGGCAAACCCACTGATGTACTATCAGGACACCCGTTAGACATTCTAAGTCTTTCAATTTAATGAAGACAGCTGTATTAATACCCTCACTCTGTTCTCATTTTCCTTCTTTCATGTAACATTCTAAAGGGTAGCTATTTATTTAAAATATTAAAAATACTTTCTTATGTTTGTTTATTGTTCTTATTTAAAAGAAGTAATTGTACCTTTTTTTATTTCACAAATCCAGTCGTATACATAGTCACAATGCCTGTCATTCCATAACATGCTGGAATCTCCACTGACTTCTGTACAAAGTTCCATTCCTTGATAATTATTTGGTTCTCCATAGGCCCAGTTTGTATATATTACCTATAGTGGAAATAGAATTGTATTACAGGTTGAACCCCTCTAGTCCGGCACTCTCTCGTCCAGCAACATCCATGGCCTAGCATGATTTTAGTTACCCAGATGGCCACCTATCATGGGGGTGGCCAAGTTTCCTGTGGTCCCATATATTTTTTATAGCCACTACTCCTGACTCAATGTTCTATGTTATTTACCCCTAAACATCTTCTAGAAATCGAGTAAGTAGTAGAAGTGTTGGTAATGCTGCTAGACAATATTGATTTCCTGTGTTTCGGCAAATTCTCTTGTTCAGCACCGGTCAGGTCCAAAGGATGCTGGACTAGAGAGGTTCAACCTGTACTATTTTCTTCATAGAAGGAGATAGTAACTGTATGCTGTAGAGAGACCCCAGTTTGATTTCCAGGGTCAATCAGGAAAATAAAGCTGGTCAGAAAATGGAATTTCTATTCTGTGGGAAATTCTGACATTTCAAAATTTTCATCTCAATTCAGAATTCAAACACAAGTTAAAATTTCTAAATTTCTTGCAGAATGAAAACTCCAAAAAAAAGATTGAGACACATCAAAATATTTTTCCTTTGATAAGTTAAAAAGTTTTGTTTTATAATGTGTAAATATTATAATAATTTAAATAAAATTGTGAAAATAATATTTAATTTAATATAAAAGTCAAAATAAAATGAACCGAAACAAAGATGAAACAAAACATTTTGTCATATGGGAACAAAATAAAAAAATCGAAATGATTATTTTTAGAAAGACAAAGTGAGTGAGGCAATATCTTTTATTAGATCAATATCTGTTGGGAAGAGCGAGGGAGAAGCTTAAGGCAGGGGTTCTCAAACTTGTGATACTGTGGCCCTCCCTCTCAGTTGCTCATGACCCACCTCTCCATTGCTGCAACCACCCTCTCAGTTGCTCGCGACCCCCCTCTAAGTTGTTTGTGACCACCCTCTAAGTTGCTCAGAACCCCCCGGGGGATCGGGACCCACAGTTTGAGAAACACTGGCTTAAGGGTTTACTCAGAGCTCTTCTTTAGATTCTTTTTCATATTTTTTCCATCTAAAATTGCATTGAAATGACATATTCTCATAAAATATTGAGATTTCAACAAAATCACATTTTCCAAATGTAAACTGTTCTGTTGGTTTTTTTACACCACTTCCACTGGAAAGTACCATAGCCAACTTCAGTACATTTACTTCAATTTTACACCCTCACTTCAATAGACTTACTACTTGTACACCAGTGTATGACCAATTGGCTACAGATCTCTGAAGATCAAGTTCTGGAAAAGGGAAAATTTTAAAAACCTAAGCTTTTTTCTCCTATGTTTTATTTGTTTTAATTTTTACAAAACAAAAGCAGAAATGGGCAGCTATCCAGGATGCTAAGGTGCTACAGACAACTATACTAACTTCACCAAGTCTTCATCGCCAAAAACAAGCAAATGAGAGCAATTTCTCTTTCTGTTTATATAGACTACCCTTTTGCTCATATTAGTCACTTTTATTCTACTTTTTTATTTTAATCACTTTTTTAAAAGACTGCTGTACACAAAAACTGGTTATCAGTCTCACACATTGCAGTTTACTAGGAGTTCAGGAATGACTGAGAATAAAATTACAAACAAAAAAAAGAATGAAGATTAGAGTCAGGAAAACAAATTGTGGAAAAATTAAATAACTCACTGAAGACCCATCACTCCAAGTAAATCCATCATCAGGATTCAAATAATATAAACCTAGCCAGAATTTCTGCTGATAGTATCCATTGTTCCTAAATCACAAGATATATAAACAGATTAAAAATAAACAAGACACACACATTTTTATATGAAATAAGTTTCAGAATTGCACATCACATCAAGTAGTTTCATAAACTTTATGTGCAAATATTTCTAAAATCTGTTGGAAACATATCTGAACATTGTCATCAGATAATTTAAAATTTATTTATAGCTGTGTAAACGTGGTAGACTCTGCCCTTCAGAAGAAGGGATTGAACCTGTCATTGAATTTGCGACCAAAGGAGTTAAATCCAAGTGCTTCGACTGCATGAGCTAAAAGTCAACTGACTCTCAACTATGACCAGAGGGAAAGTTACAGCTGCTAGGAGTATCTGTAGACTGGTAGTTGGCATTGAAATGACATGGAAATTCAAAGTCACATTTCTGTATAGCAAAAGTCCCAAATGCTGAATTACCACTGGCCCAGTGGAAAACCCTCACACTCAACCATAATTTATCTTCATGACAAAGTTCCACCGGTTTAACTTCAGGTGTGATATTCCTGGGATTTGAGCTGCAGCAAGAAATTGTACGAAAGGTACAAAGAGGATAATAGTCAAGAACAAAGTGTGGGAGGTTGGGGCTAGACAGTAGGTATTTGGACAGATTAACAAAGGTATTAAGATATGTAATGATGCACATATGCACTTACTGTGATTTTCAAAATTGCCTACATGAGCTAGACTTTCAATAGAAGCATCTAACATTCTTAGGCACTTTTGAAAATCCTATTAGATGTCTACCTGCATTTATAGGCACCTAAAGCCTTTTAAAAAAATGATCCCATTGTCTGGGACTTGCTTAGTCAAACTGTTAATGTTGACAACTGCTTAGTTGGGGAAATTTTGCTGGTTTGGGGTTTTTTTTGTTTTTTTTTTTTTTGTTTTTTTGTTATTTTGACTTTCTCCCCACCCCATGCTGGAAAAGGGCCAAATCAATGAAGAATTTTAACCTTACTGAGACTGGAGAACCCCTCTGATGGTCAATGGTCCTGAATGGATGTAGCTGGCCCTTCTGTTTAGGACCTTTGTCAGGTACATAACAAATGAGATCAAGACTACAATAAAATCCACACATCCAGGGCATGGGCTCACCCTTCCAGCTCACAGCTGTCCACACTCCATTGGGTTTTCTTTAAATGAAGATGGGGATAAGGTGAGACATCCAAAACCATATTTTTCTCCTTAAGCATGAGAGTTTACATATGTAATACTTCTATTCTCATATACCAGAAGAGATCCTGTTTGTATATCAGTATTTATACATTAAATATATTGTTGCGATTTTATTACCATTTATTAGTTGCAAAGGAATCAACTTGCATACAAACTGTCCTGCCAAATAAGGGCAGAAATACAGCAGAAGAAAATGGGATTTTTTTTAAATTGGTTAAAAAATGAAGGATTTTTTTCCATGTAGAACTATTGAAAACCTCAAAGTTGTTTACTGCTGGATAGATTATATATAGTCATCATTTATGAAGATAACAGTGGTAAAACAGTGTCTTAACAATGGGAAGCTAAAATGGTCTCTGAAATCACCTCAGGAAGTTGTACATATTTTTGCACGTGGGAAAGTAAGGTAAGAAGAAGACTGAATAAATATCCTATCTACATTCACAACGTGTTCTAAAGTCTGCTGACATGATTTATAAGACTCTGACTTCAATGGCCTTTGAATCAGATCCAAACCTCTAACCTACTCATACAAAATTTGTGATAGGCATGCTGCTTTAAAAAGTTACATTTGATAATATTGATAATATATTCCTTATTTTATACAGTATGAGTTCCTTAAAAGAGACCACTTAATTGCATTCACATTCACTGCACAGGAACAAAGCTGCTGGAAATGGTTTCAGCTTCCTGGTTAATTAGAGACAGGGAAAAATAAAAACCCTGACCAGTTTTCAGTGACCATTTTCCTCCTCTTTCACAAATTTTTGTATGTTAGACCCAACAGGGCTGCTGACAATTGTGTGGGGTGGGGGAGAGACAGAGAAAAGGGAGGGAGCGGCAAAGGGAACAGTTTCCTCACGATTGAAGAGGTGATTTAAAAGGGCCCATTGCTTTCAGCAGCAGCGGCAGGAGGAGAAGACCCTGGCTCTTTAAATTGCTACTGGACCCCATGCAGCACATACTGGGCAGCACTGAAGGTGCAGGAGGCTTACCCACAGCCCTGCCCCTTCCTCCCAAAGCCCCACTCCCATGGGCCTGGCAAAATCTGTTCTCAGTTTGGTACCAAATTACTTCTGTAGCAAATGTATACATTTCCAAATAATATGCAGATAAAAGTATACCAAAACATTAAAATTTAGAATTCCTGATTGTCAATATTATAATTCTAAAATAATTTAAATTGAATGACAAATATTGTACCAACATATGAATATTTAATTGATACCAGCTATTTCAGGAAGGATCAAAAGACATTCTTCTCTTATTTAATAGATAAAGTGACAAAATAACTACAATGTAGGTAGATACTCACGCTATGGAACGCCATATAACATATTGTTCTTCTTTGCCATTAATAGTGGCCAAATCTCCTCCTATAGCTCTACAAAATTCTTGAGATTCCAACCAAGATCTCTTTCGGTCTCTTGAAAAAGGCTAATGGGATTATATTTTACAATCAGAGATATGCTGTATGTATCACAGAATCAAAAAAACATAAGCCATTTCCTTATGGTATGATGTCAATCTAATGTTAAAAATCAGACTGCATAACATTTAATATGTGTTGTACAGGTCACTGAATATCTTGTATCAGGATCTGTTTCACTTTAGATCAAGTTTACACTGAGGGAGAAAATCAACTTAAGACACATAACTCCTGCTATGAGAATAGAATAGCTAGAGTGGAGTAAAATTTCTGCAGTGTCTCCACTGAGGATGTCGACAGGAGAAACTCTCCCATTGACTTCCCTTACTCCTCATGACCCCATGGAGTACTGGGTTCAATGGTGGTGCTGTCATCGGTCAATTTAGTCAGTCTTTACTAGATCCGTTAAATTGAACCCTGGAGGATTGATCTCCAGAGCGTCAATCTCTGGGTAAGCATAGGCAAGGATTTACATGCAGTCATTTGAGTCATGGTTAGAGGATAGCATTGGTGAGACCAACCTTTATAATAATGCAAATAATGAAGAAAAATAGTTTCAAACCTAATAGGGGCTAGAGATAGGGGAGACGAACAGTCAGGTTTGAACACTGGAAGTGAGAGTAGAGCAACTGTGAGCCCCTCTCACCTATTATTGTATATTACTAAATAGTTGCTCTTTTCACAGTGTCTGCACTGCAGTGATGAGTGAAGTGACCTCTATTTATAGCTTGTAAATCTTGTCTACAAAACACTCAGAGCACCTTTCAGGGTGGAGAGAAAGTGCTGATATGTCTAATCTGCATGCAAGTCATTCTTGTTTCAGTTCTTCTTTGCACTTACGTGTTTCAAACATGTACAGAGTCCATATTAATTGAGAATCGTTCGCTCAACTTACTTTGAAGCAGAAACTAATACGACTGTTTGAATCCCAACCTTCTGGGCACGTGGGGGCAGGAGTTGTTGTTGGAATGGGTGGAGGTGTCACACCCTGAGCCCATTGTTTGCAAAGAAATTTTGCCTTTTCCTCACATTTCACAACATCCCATAATCCACCAGCAATTCCAGTCCTCATAGCAACGCAACCTGACTTTCTTCCTTTATACATATATAAAAAAAAAAAGTAAATTTTGTGTCATCAAGAACTTTATGAACTTTGAGCTCTGTCTTTATGTAAACGAGTCCTTCATCAAAGGTTATGCAGTGAATCGGAGGTATATAGCACATATCATCCTGTTTCATTTAATGGCTGGCCCTAGTAGCTTCACAACCTTCTTTTCTCTCACAACTACAGTTTTCCTCTGAATTCCAGTGGGAGAGCCCTGCATTTTTGGTGCTATGTTCTCAGTTTTAACCGATCCCAGTTTTGATCACTTTTGATGACTGCAGTGGCCCACTTGCCTTGTATAATTTATGAAAAAAGGCATTCTTGATTGCAAACAGGGCTTTTTTGAAAGAGAGCATCCAGATTTTGTCTGGGTGCCCTCTTTCTAAAACACAGATCGCTTTTTCGAAAAAGTTGTGCCTGTCTAGACAATCTCTTTCGAAAGAAAGATTTTTTCAAAAAAGCTTCTTTCAAAAGAAGTGTGGAGACTAGATGTACCCACTTCCAGTAAGGGTCCCATACCTTCCTTGACCACACTCTTATTGCTATCATCGCTTGCTAGCTGCAATTCCAGTTGTGCTTTGGGCTTCCTGATTACACCCCTCCATGCTTGAGATAGATTTATATATATACACACACACACACACACACACACGCGCGCACATACATACACACACAAATACTCCAAGTTTCCACTTCTTGTAAGCTTCCTTTTTGTGTTTATGATCACCAAAGATTTCCCCGGTAAGCCTATCTGGTTGCCTACCATATTTGCTTTTCTTACTGTGCATTGGGACAGTTTGTTCCTGTGCCTTCCATAAGGCTTCTTTAAAATGCTGCCAGCTCTCCTGGACTCCTTTCCCCTTCATGTTAGCATCCCAGGGGATCCTGCCCATCAGTTCTCTGAGGGAGTGAAAGTGTGCCCTTCTGAAGTTCATAGTGTGTATTTTGCAGCTCTCCTTTTTTCAGGATCCTGAAATCAACCAATCTCATGATCACTGCTTCCCAGATTGCCACCCACATCTACTTCCCCTACTAATTCCTCCCTATTTGTGAGCAATAGCATATGTACAAGGAAGTTGTACCCAGCATTCTCCAAAAACTTCTGTGTACTGCTGTATTGGTCTCCCAACAGATGTTAGGATGAATAAAGTCCCTCATTAAAACCAGGGCCTGTGATCTGAAAGTTTCTGTTAGTTGTCTGAAGAAAGCCTCATCTACCTCATCCACCTGATCCGGTGGTGTATAGAGACACCAACCACAACATCACCTCTGTTGCTCCTGCCTCTAAACTTAATCCAAAGACTCTCAACAGGCTTTTCTCCCTGTATATACTGGAGCTCTAAACAATCATACTGCTCTCTTAGGGTACATCTAAGACTACAAACCTCTTTCAAAAAAGCCTCTTTTGAAAGAGATCATCTAGACAGCCACAAGACTTTCAAAAAAGTGATCTGCTTTTTTGAAAGAGAACATCCAGACAATCTGGATGCTCTCTTTCGAGAAAGCCCTATTTGTGTACAATAATACCTTTTTTTGTCATAGTTCTTTGACTGTGCCAGGACTTCTAATTCTTCCTGCTGGTTTCCCAGGCTTCTTGCATTCATGTACAGACACCTTAAATAACTAGCTGATTTCCCTGCATTCTGTGTATGGATCAGGAGTCCTCCTCTGTGGCACTTTCCTCCTTGTGTTTCTTCCTGGTATCCCACTTCCCCACTTATCTCAGGGCTTAGGTCACCATCCTCCAATGAACCAAATTTAAAGCCCTCCTCACTAGGTTTGCAAACCTGCCTGCGAAAATGCTCTTCCCTCTCTTCATGTTCATAAGGCAATATCCTTATTATGATGCGGTCAATTATACCACAAGACCTCACCCTCACCCATACACTCTATTTCCCATCTAGCATTCTGTCTAAGCCACCATGTACTCCATATCATTCTAGCCCCCCTACAAACAACTCAGTCTTTCCCATAACATGGGCAAATACAATTTCTATTTGCACCTTTTCCACCGTAACTAGCAAGCTAACATAAAGGAGGCATACAGATCACTTACACCATTCCCATCTAAGTAGCAAAAACAAATTCCGACAATTAAACCCTTTACCAAAGAAGCATCTGAGAACCGCCAACTGCTGTCCCATCCAGTAAAAGATATAGAAGTTTTGTTAAGGAAATTAATTACTCTCCAGCCCATACTGTAATACTGCATATACCTGGCATTTCTGAATTCCAGTGCGTGAATAAAACTGCTTCACCATTGGTCCACTTGAAAGTTCCCTTTTCCTCTATATTTGAAAGACCGATCCAAAAATATTTTTCAGGCCTCAGCCCTGTCAGACTAGTTAGATAAGCTAGTTCATATCTGCAAGAAAAGACGACAATAGTGAAATCAGTGTTAATCCAATATTTGTATATAGTATGTCATTATTACTGAAGAGTCATTCAATGTGTGGTTTAAACATACTTATTTGTACAAAACATCAAAATAAAGTGGAATTATTCACTTCTGAATTTATAGTTTCTCTCACCCCTTTCTTTCTGTAAAGAAAATTACATGCAGGAGCACTGAATTTGTGGGAACAAGAGAAACGAAAGAGGGCACCTCATGTGATCTTGGTGGAATATAATCTTAATTCTTGAGAACGCACAGTAGGTCTATATTTTAAACAATCTGGTCCTATATGCAAGACAGTTTGGTGTTAAAAGAACCACAAGTATCTAATGCAGATTTAGGCTATATCTAGACTACATTCCTCTTTCAAAAGAGGGATATAAATTAGACATATTGAAATTGCAAATGAAGCCGGGATTTGAATTTCCCACACTTGATTTGCATAATTGCATCACAGCGTTTGTTCAAAAAATGCTATTTCGAAAGTGAAACCGCAGTCTAGACGTGGTTCTTTCGAAAAGAAATGCCTTTTTCAAAAGATCCTGTAAACCTCGTTCAAATCTCAGCTTCATTTGCAATTGCAATATGTCTAATTTACATCCCTCTTTCGAAAGAGGAATATATAGTTCAGACATACACTAAGAATCTGCCATACTACAGTGAGATGAAAATCAAATCTATTAATTAAGAACCATTAATCTATTAACCAATCTATGAATTAAGCATCAAATCCATTAATTAACATCTGTAAGTCATCACGGCCTGATGAAATGCATCCTAGAATACAAAAGGAGAAGATAGAGGAGGTATCTGAACCTTTAGCTATTATCTTTGAAAAATCATCGAAGTTGCAAGAGATTCCAGAAGACTAGAAAAGGGCAAATATAGTGCCCATCTATAAAAAGGGAAATAAGAACAACCCAGGAAACTACAGACCAGTTAGTTTAACTTTTGCATCAGGAAAGATAATGAAGCAGGTAATTAAGGAATTCATCTGCAAACTTCTGGAAGAAAATAAAGTGATAGGTAACAGCCAGAATGGATTTGTAAAGAACAAATCATGTCAAATCAATTTGATAGCTTTCTTTGATAGGATAACAAATTTTGTGGATAAGAGAGAAGCGTTGGATGTGGTATACCTAGATTTAGTAAGGCATTTGATATGTTCTCACATGAACTTCTTATCAATAAACTAGGCAAATACAACTTAGATAGGGCTACTATAAGGTGGGTGCATAACTGGCTGGATAATAACTACTCTCTAAGAACAGTTAATGGTTCATAGTCATGCTGGAAAGGCATATCAAGTGCAGTTCTGCAGGGGTCTGTTTTGGGACCAGTTCTGTTCAATATCTTCAGCAACGATTTAGATTATGACATAGAGAGTACGCTTATTATGTTTGTAGATGATACCAAGCTGGGAGGGGTTGCAACTGCTTTGGAGGATAGGGTCATAATTCAAAATGATCTAGACAAACTGGAGAAATCATCTGTGGTAAACAGGATGAAATTTAATAAGGACAAATGGAAAGTACTCCATTTAGGAAGGAACACTCCATTTCATACATACAGAATGGGAAGTGACTGTGTAGGAAGGAGTACTGCTGAAAGTGATTTAGGAGTCATAGTGGAACACAAGCTAACTATGAGTCAACAGTGTGACTTAACAGAAGTGTTGTCAGTAAGACACGAGAAGTCATTCTTTTACTGTACTTTGTGCTGATTAGGCCTCAGTTGGAGTATTGTGTCTAGTTCTGGGCTCCACATTTCAAGAAAGATGTGGAGAAATTGGAGAGGGCCCAGAGGAGAGCAACAAAAATGATTAAAGATCTAGAAAACATGAGCTATGAGGCAAGGCTGAAGGAATTGGATTAGTTTAATTTGGAAAAGAGATGACTCAGAGGGGACATGATAGTGGTTTTCAAGTATCTAAAAAGGTATCATAGGGAGGAGGCAGCAAAATTGTTCTACTTGTTCTCTGATGATAGGATAAGAAGCAATGGGCTTAAACTGCAGCAAGGGAGGTTTAGTTTGGACATTAGGAAAAACTTCCTAACTATCAGAGTGGTTAAACACTGGAATAAATTGCCTAGGGAAGTTGTGGTATCTCCATCTCTGGAGATATTTAAGAGCAGATTAGACAGACACCTGCCAGGGAAGAGCTAGGCCATGCTTGGTCCGGGCAGGGGACTGGACTTCATGACCTCTCAAGGACCCTTCCAGTTCTTGTATTCTATAATTTTGTCCACGTATAAATGTAGGGCTTTAGGGCTGGGAAGATGTAGAAATAAAAGTCAACTACACTTAAAAGACAACAATACTTAGAAGGCTCATTGAAAATACAGTAGAGATGGTAGTTTTGCAAAGTCAAAGCATCTAAAAACATTTTGCATATGTTGTTGTTATTCCAAGACCAGATTACTTTGCTGTTCATTATTTGTATTAAAGTTCTACCAGCAATGTGTAATTCACTTGTACACACATAAGAAAACACAAGCTATGCCATCTAGAATTTGTATACAGTCCTGGTAACACAACAGAAACAAATATGAGAAATTCTAAAGGGCCCACTGACTAAATATAACTAGGTTCTGACTTCCCACACTCTATCCTCCCTGTGTTCCTCCAACATGTAATACTGGATATTGTGCATATCCTCATGTAAAATACATTGTGTTTGGTTCAACTGCAAGGGACTTTCAGATAGAAATGAACTTTTTGGTTAGCTTGCTCATGTTTTAGGATCCTCTTTATGGGACAAGGGCCAATTTGACATCAAACAAACATACATAATTATTTTGAATTCATGGTCATGGATGGCCTAAGTGGTAAAGAAAATGATTCTACAGGAATGAATTGAGGTCAGTGTGGCAGTGCCACACACAACAGCCTAAACAGAATTTGCAGGTTTTTCCCCCAGAGCTTGATCCTCAAATCAGCTCCAGGAAAATAGTGATTACTTTATCATTACTGGGCTTGATACTCATGTGGCATATGCTTTCCCTCATTTTCACTAGGAGCCAGCCAAGAACCTGAGCAGATGCTGATAGTGCTGTGGGACCTGGGGCAGGATGGTTGTCAATGTAGCATGGAGATCAGCTGGCTCAGATCATATGATGGAGCTACGAGACAAGTTTTAATGAATTCATGCAATTAAACGGATGGGAAAGTCAGTCACCAAATGGCCCATTACAGAGGAGCAGGTGCTGTGATAAATAGTGTCATTGGCAATCTGTCAACTGGCATCTTCAACAAGCTTCAATTGCCTCCAACCTATTCCAGTCATCAGTGGGCTAAATGGTTATCCATATCCATGCGGCGGCTTTAACTTGATAGTTTCTGGTGAGGTGATCGCATTCTAACGACCTCATAAAAGTATATGGTTGGACATGCATTAACACGGGGTCTGGCAGGGTCATGGGACATCACCTGGGTGGACAAAGTAAGGAGGATATGAACAGGGTGGTGGTCATATTCATTGGAGACATAAGAGGGTTGGCAATTTCACAATGTAGGGCACCTAAATTATTCAAGGAGGATGGCGTTTGTGATGCAGATTTGTTCTGAATTATATAAAAGGGGACCATAGGGGATATTTGGGAATCTGTGGGGACTTGTGGGGAGGCAGTCAACCTAATTGCTGGCACAGCCTTGTGATGGATGTCCAATGCAGGTACTCCATAGGGAAGGTATACAGTGACCTGACAAATGGCTTGGGAAAAGGCTTAAAAAGGAGATGTTCACTAAGGCTATGTCTAGACCGCAAGCCTCTTTCGAAAGAGAGCGTCTAGACTGCACGCGGAACTTTCGAAAAAGCAAGCCGCTTTTTTGAAAGAAAGCAGCGAGTGAGTCTGGATGCTCTTTCTAAAAAGCCCTGTTTGCTTTCAAGAACGCCTTTTTTCAAAAGAGAACTTTTGAAAAAAGGCGTTCTTCCTCGTGGAATTAGGTTTACCGCCATCGAAAGAAAAGCCGTGTTCTTTCGATTTAATTTCGAAAGAACGCGGCTGCAGTCTAGACGCAGGTGAAGTTTTTTCGAAAAAAGTCTACTTTTTTCGAAAAAAACCCTGAGTCTGGACACAGCCTAAGGGATTTGAACAGAGGGAGAGAGAGTGGAGCTCCTATGACTGCTATGGAAAGGAGCCCACCGACCTTTCTTAGAAAGCACCTTAACTGTGCTACAAGAATGGGGTAGACAGTAAGGTCCCAGCAATGTGTTGTCTGGAGGACCTGGATGAGAAAAGAGGGAGAGTGCCCAGTGTAATTAATGAATTGACATGGGATTACCTGTGAAGTAAGGATGAGGGCCTGAAATTTAAGCCATAGGCCTGGTATGAGGCCTAGGTAACAGTGGTCAAGACTTTCCTAATATAAAGCAAAGCTAGTGAGCAAGAGGCAGAGACTGCTCAGAATTTGGCACAAGCAGGGCTGGTATTGCAGATACACTCATACCTAATTGGTACTATGCTCAGACCATAAGCACATTCCAGAGGGATGGTAACAGAACACCTCGTTAAGAAACATCTTGGAATCAATACACACTCCTCAGATAACAGGGACATACTGACCCAACTTCAGGACAAGGCCTAAAATGACAGCATGATGGATAGAAATGTTCTGATTGAACTACCGTGTACATAGTAAGGTAATGTCAGAGCAACCTGAAATGCTAAAACTGATGTGTAATTTGTTTGCACACATGTATAAAAATGCCCCTGAAGGGAGTTGATTTTTCTAGACTATGGGGCAATGGAAAATCTTGCCCTTGACTGAGCTGGTCCACTATCAGTGTGTACATATACATAGTGGTTGTTGCATAAAAGTCTCCGCCCGAACTATTACTTGATTTTACACATGGATTTTCTGGAAATACACTAAACTGAAAGGTCCTGCCAACACATGATTTAGAGACTGACAAAAACCTCCTGCTGACTGCATTGGTAGGGGGATAAAGGGGAGGAGGGAGCAGTTGTCTTCTAAATCACTTAATTACTGATAATTTGTGAATGATTATCTGAAGCTTTGTAATAGAGTTGCATTGCCTTTTAAACTCTGCAATTCATTGTACTCTTTGTTAAACCTTACAACTCTGATCCTTTTTGTAACTTTCATCCACTCTGCTTGTAACTTGCTCTAAATTGCATTCTTCCCTGAGATATGAATGTGTGAGTGGAGACTATTGTGTGTTTGGGATTAGAAACTGCACGGCTGAGCACATGGAGTCAGATGATGAGTCATCAAACCAATTAAGGACATGCTGGTGCTCTGCTGGATCAAGGGAAGTCTGGGCATGCTCTCTGGGGACAAATGTGAAAGAGTCAGAGGGGTGGTACAAAGACAATTAAAGGAGAAAGCATATGGCAGAAATTCTCTAAGAAGTTCCTCTTCCAGTTTCTTTCCTGAACAACACCCCAGCCACAATCAGCAGAGACCCTCCAGAATCTACATGCTTGGCACCTTCTACAACCCATTGGCCTGTGTATGTGTGTGAGTGTCTGAGGACAGGAATGAATGTGTGTGAATGAATGAAGGTGTGTGAGAGAGATAACTGGTTCCCTTTTAGTCTAAGCCTTTAGTGGCAGCCATATAGCGCATATAGCGTAGTGTTATTTCCTCAATCAATAAATTCATACTAGTGTAACCCTGGGTAGTCTCCAGTGGGAATTTTTTGGGTAACAGTGGTTTGGTAGAGTCTGTGGACAACTATTACTATACTTCATTTGACAATAAACCTGGCCAAATACCTAAGGATGTTAAATTGTGGTTATCTGGCTAATCACGTAGTCAATACAATTGTGTAGTCGAGGCTCATGCCAGCTCCGGGAGCCACCCACACTACAACTCTGCATTTTAAAAGTAGTAAGAGCCACTAGGCTCTTACTACATTTAAAATGCAGCAACACAGCATCCCTGACCAGCGCAAGCTAGGACTGCACGGTCCTGGCTCACACTGAGTCCAGCAGCCAGGGGCTGCTGCCAGAGCAGCCCTTGTACACAGCCAGCCTCGGCAACTGAACAGGTGCTGCTTCCTGAGCAGCCTCTTTCTGTGCCAAGCCTCAGCCCACTACAGGCAGAGGCTGCTTCGCAGCAGCCTTCACTAACCCTTCCTCCACTGCCTCTGATATAGATGGGGAGCAACCTGCTCCCCCCACACACTTGTTGCCTCTCATATACCCTCCAGATATCTCCAATCATCTGATTTTGTAGTCTTTGGGGGTTCTCTTGGTGTCTGCTCGACCAGCAGAAAAGCCAATGTGACCTTTTTGAAAGTCAGCTCTGTTCCAGAAAAAATAACTACGTAAAAATAGCACCTTCTCATTTGCCAGATCTGCTTCCTATATGGCATTCAAAGCCTTAGCAATTCATTTAAGAACAAAAATAGTTTTTTCCAGCTTTTTTTACTTCTGTAAACTCTACAGAACCAACACAACTCAGGGAGATCAAATGCAATTGTTTTTTGTTCATCAGCAACTGAATTGTTTAAGAAATTCTAATCTCACATACCTGTGCAACTGCACTGATAGGAATAGGGTTGCACTGGTGTAAATGAGGGACTAATTTGTTTTGAAGGCCCTTTACAATTGTGAAATCAAATTTCATAGCACCCATCTTTATAGTGGGCTGGCCCACACCTTTGGATTTGGGCACCTACTCACATATTTTGAGAGGTTCTAATATTTCGTTCTAATTTTGTACGTCAAACCCAACTCTGACATTGTTCAACATCAGGCATTTTATTTTTATGGTTTAGACTATTTTAGGATTTTGAGCCTTGTAAGATCCTATAAAGTCCGCAGAAGAGCAGCCTTTTCCATACCTGTTTTCAACAGTAGCTAGGTAAGCCTGGTTCTCTAAACAGGTTTGATTTGCTTCAGAAAAGGATGCAAATATACTTGAAATCATGTAACAATGAAAGCCGTATCTCTTCCAGCCCTGTGAAAATAAATATTATGCAATTACACAAACTTGCTGGAAAAGTGAGATGTATACTCTGTATTAAAAATCATTTAGAACATAAAGTTACTGGTAAACCATGAGACAGCTAAAAACAGTCAGAATAAAGGGGTCAGAATGTGAACAACAAGCAGATGGAAAATAAGTTATCAAAATATTTTCTTGAAATAAGTAGAACATGGGAGTGTTTATTCAGCAGTCAGATGCTGACTTGATTTTTCTGATAAGGACATCTCTTTTGTAAATGACATTAAAGAAATCTTAAAAATAAAAACTGGGCCAGTGCCATGCTCAGGCTATCTTTTCTTTGTTTGCTTATCCAACAGTAAAACTGCCTGAGGTCTGTGTACTGAACAAGTAACGTGGAATTTTCTATTAGAATTTTGAGCTAGTTCAACACAAAAGCATCACGAGTCTTCAGAACCACACAAGACCCAGAAGAACTTGGATGTTAAATGGATAATACACATATATAAAACTATCAATTATAAGCTATGAAGTAATAAAAATGTAAATAAATAAAAACTACTCTGACTGTAACAAAGCTAGATACTTTACATCTCTGAATCATGTGTAGGCTACACAAAGTTGTTGATAAATGTTTTATAATATTTTTAACTAAGAGCAACATCTTTCCATAACATATTGCTTCATGAAACAAGAGGTCACATAGAATGACTTGTTAAAAACATTTCTTGATAAGTCGATGTTCACCTCTCTTCCACTGCCTCTGAATAGCATCACTTCACCTCAATAAACTTCAAGCTCAGTCCTGCCAGGAGAACTTGGTTCCACGTCAGGAAAGTGATCATCTATAGGAGCTACAGGTTTGCAAACAAGGGCCAAAAGGGCAGCCGAAACTAGATCTATGTATACTTCCTGGTATCCCGTATGTTCTCCACATTATGAAGGCTAGAAGCGCCATATGTCGGTGAATCCAACACAAACCAGTTTTTGGCTTTCCACCCTAATCCTCACAGTAATCTATTTTTTTTTATTTAATGTCTCAATTGTTCCATGCTTATTCAACTTACACAATGTATTTTGTACTTACTTTATGACAGTCTGGCTCATTGATTTCTTCTTCTACACTAGTATCTGCCAAAGGTTTCCTTTTACAGATGTATGCAAGTTTCTTTTCACAAGCACGATCTGCCCAGTAGCCATCCTGAAAATGGCATAAGGGAAAACACGTATCAATCAAGTGGACATTTTAGTCTTTCAAAAAATGTTCATTAGTTCCTTAATGTTAGTAATGTTAATGTGAGATATGTTTTTGTAGTGCCATAAAAATGTATAATACACATCCATGATTTATTTTACATTCTGTCTATAGTACAAGTAGATAAATATTGGGTATCCAGTTTTTACATACTGAATTTAATGTACATAATGACCAACTCATGACCAACTCTTTTAAACATGGTCCGTGTGTGTGTGTGTGTGTGTGCGCGCGTGTGTGCGCGCGTGCGTGTGTGATGTCACTTCATACATTACTCAGTCAAATGCTAAATATGCATTCATTGTAAATGCTTTGGATGAGATGTACTCATTGCATACATATTTATGTGCACACCAACTATAAACCTCTGACTTATTTAGAAACATCTAACAGTGGTAGTGTTCACCAAATATAAATTGAATAAACAAAGAATTTAAGTAATTAATGAACTTTGGAGATAGATTTTATCACAATAGCCTTTAAATATAGGAGCTTCATAAGCAAACATTAAAATATTAATTACCTAGGCAACAGAGGTAATCCTACAGATTGCCAGTGGGACAATGCTTAGATAGGTACATCTACATATTAAAGGTGTCTGACAAATGCATACAAGCTGGAAAGCTGAGTTACGTATATTGCCTGCCAAAGAGCAACGTTTTTCTCCCACATCTTTCACTGAAGTAGCATTTTAACAAGTATTACTTCTGATATTGAGTTTCCTGCATTAGGCATGGTGATCAGCGGACTCTAACAATGAATATCACAACAGATCACACCAATTGCTAAATGCAAACTATAGTTCATGAAACACAGATATACAGAAATCATAAGCACCTGGAATAAATAATTTATAAAATAAGTGCTGGCAAACTATCCTATACTAGTGCATATCCTATAGTTAGAATTAGTTTTCAACTTCCTCCCATCCATTATCCCCAGAAGGTTACTAAATTTCTGCTAAGTTTATTGAGAACAGCCATATAAATTATGAATGAATATGGGAAAATATTACAACAGACAACACTGCCAAGCAGATAAAAAAAGCTCCTAGTGAAAAGTTGTATCGCTGCCATGAAATGTATTTTTTTCATTAAATTGTATCTGATGGAACAGGTAAAAAATGCTGCCAATGGCTAATCTGAAAATACACAGATAATTTCATTAGTTTGTTTCCCCAGAGAAAGACTTAAAACTCCGTAAAAAGTGACCTAAAAGGAATTTTAATTCATAAATGTGTGACAGTATTAAGATCTTCTATTCCTGCGGTCACCAAACCATCGATCAAACTCCTGAACCCCCACATCCTCAATCTTCTGCCACAACACTCCTGCACCATCCACACACTGCAAATCCATGTCCTGAGCCCATCATACTCCTAACCTCCCTGTCCTGAGCTCCTTACACACCCCAACCCAAACTCCTGCACCCTCACATCCACAAGCCTGTAGCTTGCTCAGCACCCCAATCCTCCATCTGACCCTAACACTCCCCAGCCTGGAGTCCCCTCCCTGAGCCAGCATCCCCTTCTCCACCTCCTCCTGCATCCAAATTCCCTCCCCAGAGCTTGCACCTCTCACTCCTTCCCACACCCAAATCCTTCATTCCCACCCCAGAGCCCACACATCCTATCTCAACTCAGTGAGGGTATGGCTAGACTACAGGAGTTTTTCTGGCAAACACACTCTTTTGGCAGCCCCTGTATTCCTCATTCTACGAGGAATAAGGGGGCTTCCAAAAGAAGAGTTTTTTTCCAACAGAAGGATTGAAAAAAAAGCGACAGAGTAGCTGTATCCTGAGAGTGTATAAGGTCCAGGGATAGCAAGTAATGGAGAGAAGAGGAACAGAGAGGGTGGGTCCTCAAAGAAGGGGTGGAGTCTTGGGAAAGGGATGGGGGTAGATCTTGGCTCGTCCTGACATTTAAAAAGTGATCTTGGGTGTAAAAAGGTTGTAGACCACTTCTCTATTTCAAGGCCTGCCAAAACTAGGAGCAAGTGCGGAAGTTTCTAGGCCTAGGTGGTCTACCATACATAAGCCTTGCACAGATTTCAGGACAGCCAGAAAGATTATTTGTACTGTATATTTATTTCGCCTCTTTCATCCTTCACTCCCTCACCACCAGCCTTTTGCAAAATGAAAAACAGGTTTTGCTATTGAAAAATGTTTGCCTTGATAAATGAACCTGCAATGGATCAAAAGTCCAAGTATTTTGCACCATCACAAAACTGGCAAAAAAACATTTTTGATTGTTTCATATAGCTGTCTCTTGCATGACTTGTCTCTTACCAGAATCTCTTATCTAAGCTCCCAATATTTATCTATCACTAGCAGATGTACCCAGCACTGCTCAGGTCTATAACTGAAGGAATTTCTTTCTTTTCTTTTCTTTTTTTTTTTTTGAAAAATAAATTAAAAGTATATGTGTTATTTCAATTATTATATTTTTCAAAAAGGAAGGAAAATGAAAGCTGGAGTGAGAGTTTGAGGGTGAGGTGGGGAAGGGGTAGGTGGGTTAGGGCAGAAAGTTGGGAGGTGTGGTGGGACTCAGTGGAAGGGAGGACTGAAATCAAGGCAGGTAGGAGGTGCAGGATTCAGAGCAAGGGACTGGGAGGTGAGGGGAGGTCTTACCACAGCTGTCCACGGTGATGAGGGTGGTGCTCCAGTGGTGACTCCTCCCATGAGGCTGGGGGCAGCTCTCCCCTCCCAGCGGCCCCACCTAGTTGTCCTTTCCTGCAGGCTGCCAGCTGTCTGGGGTGGGGGAACCAGGCTCTGGAGGCTGCCACCCTCTTGCCAGCACCCCCTTAA